CTCCCGGACTCAATAGTCATAGTTCCCGCTCGCTTGGGAGGCTTAGCCGGCGTGCCTACTGGCTTGCGCATAGTGCCTTCCCTACTCGCACCAAGATTCGTGAAGCCTGTCGAGGCTCGGACCGGTAGCGGTGGTTTTTCTTCCGGCTCGTCTCTATACTGACTCGTCCCGTTGCTACTCGGAGCTGGAGATGCCGCAGCCGGCACCGTAGCCAGGTGTGCCGGCTTCTTCGCCACGGGTGGTGCCGGTTTGGATTTGGATTGTGACGACACCTGTGAAAGCTGAGAAATGGCAGATGACGGTCGTGGAGGGGGAGGCGTCGTCGTCGTATTTCGCGATTTATTGGAGAGTATCAAAGGTGGATGCTGGATTGCCGCGCTTGCTCCCGTCTGTCTTCTAGGCGGCGGTGGCGGTGGCGGCGTTTCTCCGCGTTGCGATTTTTCATCTCTGATATTGAGGCCGTTGAACTTTCCTGGCAGAGCTGATGGATCAAAAGGTGGCGGCAGCTTCCTCGTTATCCGGTTCGTTGCCGACGACGAGAGATCATTGGGAGCAGAAACATGCTCATACGGCGAGGTTGAGACGCTAGAAAAGGACGATAGTCTTGATCTGGGTACGTTTACCCAGTCCGGCTCTCCGGTTGGCGTGAAGGGATTCGGCGCCCTATTAGGGTTTAGGATTGCGACGTGGCCCTCGGGAGCCGTCGGTTGCTTGATGTCGACTCGGGCCTGCTGTTTGTTCTCCAGCCACCATTTCTGGCGGTCAGAGCTGGCAGGAGGTAGCCCAGGCTCGATGGCTTCATATCCAATCAGATCCTCATCGTCGGTTTCCTCTGAATCCAGGTTCGCTGTCGTGTCTCCAACTTCGGCCTTTCGCCGTTGATATAGCTCTTTGCTGATTTGATCTCGGAAAGCTTCATCGACAATGCTGACGTTGCACTGGAATAGAGCATACACTGGTCGGTGGTCCGAAAACTTGAGAGGAGCTGAATTGTACGCCAATTGACGTAAGTTCCCACCCTTGCGCAGGATACGGTCGGTCCAGGCTGGGATACGGGCTTTCTCACTGTGGACCATTAGTTTATGCGTTATCAGACATATCGACCTCTTGAACATACGAAGTATCATAATTGTCCGTGCCAAGATCGAACTTGTATGTAGGCAAGAAATTGATACGGGCCTCTGAGTAAAAGGGAAACGCAAGTCCTGCGATCATTTGGAGGTTCAACTACGAAGCAGTCAGCATGTTGATAGACAACACCGGAGTAATATTCATTGCTCACCTGATCGTTCTCGTAAAGTGTCGCCAGATCGCCCTTCTTGATTAGGCTTCGGGCAGCCTCAGAGCTGAGACCAATCCTGTAGTTAAAGTCTCCCAGCCAAACAACAGCATCTGCTTCGACGTCAGTTTCAAGCTCATGGGTGCTACAAGGCTCTGGGATGAGTATGCTTACCGTGATCATCAATACCACGGTTCCGTTGGAAGCGCAACCCGTGATGAATTGTCGCGTAGTCTCTGTTTCTCTCGTCGTAATTCGAAAATCCGGCGGCCAAATGGGCTGTCACGAAGCAGATATGGGTATTTGCGTAGTCAAATCGTATGGCAACCGCGCCTTTGTTGCCGGCCATCCCCGAAAGCCCCGTCTTCTTGACGCTTCCCTCAACGTTCTTAATGTTGGCCAATGCTGATGCCTTGACAAAGATGCACAACGCCGCGCCGACGAGTTGTCCACTCCGGAGCAACACGTATCTTTCTCCATCAAGCGACTTGGCTCGTTTGTTGAGGCACCTTCTCACTGCAGCTTCCCAGAGTTGTTTCCTCGAAGGGTCGCTGTTCATGATTTGTTGTGGGCTCAACTCGACTATCTCTTGGAACCCAACAGCAACGATTTCGGGCTGCACGTTACCCAGTTCTTCCGGAGACAACCATGCATCAAGATCGCTATCAACGCCTTCAGTTCGACCGTTGAGATTGAAGGTACCGACCAACCTACGTGGGTTAGCGTGAGAGACCAAGGATACGGATAGATAACTCACATGTTTATGTCCTGTGTGGATGAGAACTCAGCGCTTCTCTTCGTCAATTCACCAGAAACGTAGTCACTGATGGGGTCGAAAAGAAGGACAGGTAGTTGGTTGACCAGCCGCCCAAGCAGCCGGTCAATCGTTGTCTGCCTAGCCGAATCTGTGAAATTATTGTGGTAAAGACGCTGCACCGATTTACGCATGTCCGCAACAGCTCCAGCCAGGGACATCTTCCCAGAGCGGGTGAAGGATGACTTGAGCGCACCAGTGCCCGCATAGATCTTCGATAGGGCGTCTCCGTTGTCTGCCCACAAAGTTGAGTGTCGCATCCAAAAATCCGATGTGGCATATTCGCCTCGGTGGCCCAGGAAAGCCTCTGTAGCCATCTGAGAAATGAGGGTCTGGATCAAATTTGTCCTATCCAAACAGTCGAGACAATTTGTTCGAAACACACCCTCTTGCTGGAGAACCACAACCATACGACTTGAGCTCTGGCCGTCATTGGTGTCGGCGCCTGAATCTTCATTCTGCTCCGCCAGGTAGTAGGCAAAACCGTCTATCGAGTTCTCAATGTATCTGCGGATCTGACGTGCGGCCTCGTACCCTCCAGGGCCTTTCGTCTCGGCATGGAAGTCGTAGTGAGTCTCTCGTAAAAGCGCGTGGTCTTGCGACTCGTGCTCCCCGACCTGGCTCAATGGGCAATGTTCTACGCCGAGATGATACAGCTGACTGAGCTGCGCCTCGCCAGGTTTACCTTCACTCAAAAGATTGACCACGTGAACGGCGCCGTAAGCTTGCTCCAGGTCCGCGAAGTGTTTGTTGAAGGCCGGCTGAGCTCCCTCGGGGGATCTGATAACGGTGATATTTTGCTTGCCGGGAATGAGCTCCGCAGTCTGTTCCCAGAACAGAGGAACTGAACCTCTGACTTGAGCATACGAAAAGAGAGTCCCGCCGGGGCTCCAGTATATGGTTTCTGTCTCGACAAAGTTTGCCACGTTGCCGTCATCGTCAATGCCTCTGGAGTTGAAACGTGTTCCCGCTCTTCGACAAGAGAGTCTTGAAACAACGGTCAAGTACGATGGCAGCCCAGTCGATCGTGTCTTTAGAGGTGCGCTCGTTTGGGGGATGGCCATTGTCCGACAGAAACCACGGATAGCCGATGTAAGGAACCGTGATGAATCCAAAGCTTCGCGTTCCTGGGGCTGCAATCGAGATCTGAACTGGACCAACGGGCTGATCATGTACGAATTCCACAGGAAGGAATCATCAAAGTTGTCAATGTCAAAAGTATATGAGTTCACAGTCCTAGACGGTCAGCGACGGATTGGTGCCGGGAATGGATGCGACCTTACCTATCTTGCAATCTGTTTGTAAGATCGAAGTCGGTACTGTAGTAAAATGTGCCATTTCCCAAAAGCTTCCGAAGGTCCGTACAAGGATGTTCTACCTGAAGCTCCCGCCCTTTGAGGTTCTGGCCATACACCGAGTTGGCATCCGAAACCTCGGAATCCAGAGGATCAAGAGAGACAACATCGTCCCATTCGCTTCTGTTGAGGCAGAAAAATGCAACGCTCGCAATCCGTTCTACAGTCTCTCCCGGCCTAAGGGTAGCGACTCTTGTAGCATGTGTCACAACGGAAAGGAACACGTCGCCCTCGACAGAGATCAGACCCAATGTTCCAAAAATGGGTCGTGGTGTCAGCGGTCGGTATTCGGCGAGCGTCTTTTTTGTGATCTGAGTGAATTCGACCATGCATTTCGACGCAGCAGGGTCGCCGTTGGGTCGTGAGCGGGTGGACGCGAGGGAAGTAAGAGATCCGTTTGCGCCGGTGCTGGAGGAGCTGTAGCGAAATATGAGGGCGTGAGAGGCCGAGACAATTGCGATAGAGCGATGAGGATAGTCGCGAATGTACAACTGGCTAGACTTTTCGGGTGCTGGCACCTGAGAAGGCCAATTCCCAGAGCTGGAGTAATCCATGGTCGTTCGGAGGTGTTGCTGACAGATTCGCACAGGCGTCGCAGGGCATGCTTGGACGAGTTCGGTTGTTCATCGAAGGGTGCCGTCGTCGGCGGGCCAGTGAACTCAAGGTCGATGATGAAGACGTGTGGGAAGGGGAACGTCGGTGCGGTACGTCGTAGTTTTGTTGAAGCAAAGTAGGAGCTTAGAATGGCTTGACAGCCTCCAAAGGTAATGGCGTTTAGCAAAATGTCGCGGCTGACAGTAGCGGGATTTGGGTCGCCAACACGGAGCCCGACAATGACGTCCGTCCCGCCGGAGGTAACCAGGGGCATAGGACCGCTGTATGTTTAGCGCCTACCTTAAGCTCCGACTGGCCAGGCAAGTGGGCAGCTCGCTTCCTTCCAGGTGGTTTCAGCCTCACGGACCACCTTGCCTTGTAGCCATCAGGGAGCCTGGGTGCCTGGGAGGAAGCAGTTGGCTTGCGCCTGTTGAACGGCAGGGATCTTGTCTCGTGCATACCTCAACTTTAAGAATACCATCCATATATCTCAGCGTACTCAGGTACAGACATGAATAGAAAATTAGTATCAACTTCAAGAGATATCGCGAGAAGTCAGCTTTCGGCTGCGCAGAGATTTGATAGCCACCATGTAGTCACACTGGATTCATAGACAGTCAAGGAATGCTATGTTCAGATGCAGCTTGCAACGGCACAAGGTTCTATCAAAAGACAAAGCAGCAAACTAGAATAAACATGCGACGAACCCCATACAGTCCGTCTAGAAGCGTCGGGGAATGCTTTCAAAATATCTGTCCATGGCTTTGTGGCCAAGAGATGGGAATTTACGCTGGCAATGGCTTAACCATTGCAGCTCTAGTCGGAGAAATGTAAGAATTGACTAGAGCTCTCTGATTAATATGGGTCCGCTCCGTGATCGTTGTTGCAAAAGTAAGGACGGGTATCCGAACCTGCCTGGAAGTACCTTACTTTAGGTACCTACTCTGACCTCCAGCTTCCCGTTGATTAATACTCTGTTTCCCAAACATCTATCGTTGCCTGCGACTGCACTTTTTTCCCTCTTTCTCTTCCGATACCCAACGGAACGTGACAATGGCAATGTTCACCTCACATCCCCCAGAAATCATTGCTCGGGTGTTGGGCAGCTGTGCTAGCTTCGACGACGCATTTGCTCTTGCCAGATCCTGTCAGTATACTTACGCAGTATGGTTGGACCACGGCGCAAGCTTCATTGATAGCATCGGCACGAGAACAATGCCCGCGTACAAGTATGCGGTCATTGCCGTAAGTCTCTGCTTTCCCAAACATTGACAGGCCTCGTCGTCACTCACTTCAGCCGCGTAGGTGCGCGCCACAAATCTGGTCAAAGAAGCCTTGCACGCCGGCCAGCTGCCACCTGACATGACACATGATGATATTGAAGAGCTGCAACCTTCTTATCAAAAGTGCCGTTCGTCCGAGTTGGCGGACTTACTTGCGTTCCGACATTTGGCTGCGTGTCTGGAGTACGCGTACTTTCACATTGAGGAAGACGGGTATTCATGTCTACTATGCCCTGAGATCAGAGACATCACCTGGTGTACCAAAGACGAGTCCGTATTCCATCAACGTTTTCTCGATTTCCAAGAAAAATTCCATCGAGTGCTGTACAAGAGCCTTCTCGCTGGCGCTTTCTTATGGAAGTCCCACAATGAGCCATTCATCAAAGCTGCTGGAAACGGGGATGCTGGGGAACGTTTTATCAAGGAGCTCCAGTCATTGCAAGCTCGTCAAATTTGGCAACGTCGTTTAGATCTTTCAGACGACAGCCAGGCATACATTGCAGGTTTCCCGGTGTACAATGTTCACAAGATGACGCCAGCCAGCCAAGAAAAGGTGTTCGGGCATCTGGCTCGGTACTTGGTAGAAGACATCGCCACTGTCTCAGACCCGGGTTGTGCCACTGAAGTACCATGGGAGGTGATGGCTTCCATCTATGCCCACGAGTATCAATCACCCCAGCTCTACAACGCCAGTGGGAAGCCTCGCCATGGCTACACGCCGCTCAAGAACTCAACCGCCTCTGACCTGCCTCCCACGCGTAGAGTGACAGTTGTTCTTTTTGGGGAGTTCCAGCTGGAAGAGGTATCTATGCCTATCCAAATCGAGGACATGCATTGTACGCGACTGGTAGCGACTCAATTACAGGCCTCGTCGTCAGAAAGCGCTCAGGATGGCACCGCTTTCGCTTGCCATGGTTTCGACATCGCGGCAACTTTGCGAGATCGGTACAGGTTACTCGGCGGCGAGGAGTATGACAACTGGGCTCCACATCCTCCGCTCCAGCTGTACACCTTCATGCTCGAGAAGTACTATGGACTCGAGTTCAGACCATGCGCGTTCGACCAGACATATGAAGAGGCGGCTTATGCCACCTTCCTTTGGGAACCAGTCTTTGCTCACGACTACACCACAGGTATGGACCCGACATTTTTAGGGTTGCTGCATGCTCGCAGTAGGAATTGAGTGCTGCTAGAAGCCCTCACAGCGTTCGCGGCTGGTTACGATGGTAGAGCCGGTATACTGTGGGATCTCTTCCATCCTACACACAGCTCGACGGTCCACCGCCTGCTTTGGCGAGATGTGTACACTCAACCTATCGGGTTTGATATCGTAGTAAACACTAATTAGGCAGGTAGTAAGCCGCAATAGGGGAACAAATGCCGGGGACAACCCTTTTCGGCGCTTCAGACTTGATCACGGGTAGGAACAAGGTGTCTGGATAAACACGGCATTCAGAACATGATGGTGGGGAGGTCGAGCAAAAAAAGGGGAAAAGATGTAAAGATGAGACACGGAAAGGATGCCAGCCCTGGGGTTTGGGGAATGCCTTGCGGGCGCCAGAAAGAAGAATAATGTCAATGCTTTGAGGCAAAGCAGGCTTCAGATATGTATATTGAGATCACGCTGCCACCTTGGGTGGTCAGTCATTCTCTTCCTATCATGTATTGTATGGTAATCATCACGAGCCTTATTGTGAAGAAGAGAAGAAAAAAAGAGAGAGGAAAGGTTTTTCATGAATATCGGACGTCAAATAGGATCCACAAGCGACCGGTTGCTTACCTAAGTCTGCCCGCCAAAGATGGCCACCTGGGAAAAAAATCACGATTTGCGCCCTGGGGGGGGGGGGGGGGGGGGGGGGGGACGACCGGACGACGGACGCGACCTGTTCCACACTGGAATGTCGGCTCCGTTCAGTCGGGCGGATTCTAGATCAGATTTGGAAGTGCCATGCCATGCACAGAGTGACAATTACCATACGGATATAAGCAGAGGGGCAAGAAGCTGAGATGGTTGGATGATGCAGCCTGCAATTGACGCGCGCAAAGCACACGCAGTCTGCAAATACACCAAGGTATCCGTATCATCCAGTGTATTTAGAACAGCCCATGCAGAACAAGGCTTTGCTGCAAATAGAGATCGGGACGTGCCTGGCTGAACTGCTGGAGTCTGGAGAGCTGATGGAAGCGGCTCGTTGTGGACTGCCGACCGCCTGATGTCTTCAAGCTGTTAACAGGCCGATCTGATTCGCTTCCGCGCGTCACTGATAAAGCACGGAGAGCAAGGGTTGGCCTGTCAAGGTACATTACTTCTGGGTGCCATGGCACCGAAAAGACAAGTCCCTTCCGTGTCCAAGGCAAGGTACCCTGCCTCAGCCCCATTTCCCCCAATTGCATGCAGAGATACCTGCCTGCCTGCGGTCTGTCCGTACTTCGTACCTGCCTTTAATGCCCGTTCATAAAATTTCCAGCCCCCCTTCCATCCGCGACCTCGAAGCTCGACCCGGTCACCCACGATTCCAACGGCCACCAAACAGACTCGAGACCCGCGGTGCCCTCACTCCACCATCTACAGTCCCTTTCTGCTTCCTGCTGCAGCCCTTCGCAGTTCCGCGCCTCGTCGACTTTTTCCTGGAAACTCAGTCATTCCGCCGTTCGTTATCCGAAATCTTCGCCCGCTATGTCTGATTACGACCACTTTGGGAGCTCCGAGGAGGAGAGCGCCGAGATCAAGAAGCTCCAGGCCGATGTGGTACGTGAAATGCGACACCATCTTGGTCGCACCTGACATCAATGCCGAATTCACAGAATGCTAATCTGATTGCGCGCACACAGGATGTCGATCCCGATAACTTCGAGACCTGGGAGAAGCTGGTTCGCGCCTGCGAGGGTCTGGAGGGCGGCCTGAACCGCAACTCTAGCCCCCAGGCCCTTGCTACTCTTCGCGATGCCTACGATCGCTTCCTCCTCAAATTCCCTCTGCTCTTTGGCTACTGGAAGAAGTACGCCGACCTCGAGTTCAACATTGCTGGACCCGAGTCAGCAGAGATGGTGAGTCGTAGTTGTGTCGCATTGCCTCGCATCGCATTGCATCCCTTGGCTCCCGGCCGCGGCTGACATTGCGCTTCTCTCTAGGTCTACGAGCGAGGATGCGCCAGCATCACCAATTCTGTCGACTTGTGGACCGACTACTGCTCCTTCAAAATGGAGACCACCCACGTCCCACACCTCGTCAGAGAGTAAGTAGTTGATGGTCGGCTTTCCTTCCCCCTTAACATCACCATCACCACAGCATGCCTCACCGGCCGCTCGGCGCATCGATCGAGCCATGCATGGAGTCCATCCACTTGCCTTTCAAGTATCCGTCGGTGAGAAATGCCAACAGCAGCCCCATTGTTGGGATGCCCTCTCACGCTAGTAGTTACCAGGCTCTGCTGATTTCCACTTGACGATGACTGATCCGTTGTCCGCTCCACGTCGCATTCACACCACCACCACATCGCTCTCATTGGAATGCCTTACTTTGGGCTTGGATTCGCTAGTTGATTTCACTTGATACCCCTTCCTGTATAGCACGCCTCCCATTCCCCTATTCACCCCCTGTCCCCTCGCCCTTGGCTGTGTACTGACCATCCGCTCCAGGCTCTTTGAACGCGGCGCAACCTGTGTCGGCCTCGACTTCCTCGCACACCCGTTCTGGGATAAGTACATTGAGTATGAAGAGCGACAGGAAGCCCAAGACAAAATCTTTGCCATCCTGTCTCGTGTCATCCATATCCCGATGCACCAGTACGCTCGTTACTTTGAACGATTCCGCCAGCTCTCCCACAGCCGCCCCGTTACCGAGCTCGTTCCAGCTGAGACGCTGCAGAGATTCCAGGTCGAAGTGGAGGCAGAAAGCGCCCAGTATGCCGGTGTGCAGCGAACGGAGCTCGAGGTCGAACGCGACGTCCGCACCAAGATTGACGCCATGTACTATGAGTACTTCACACAGACGCAATCTGAGACCAACAAGCGATGGACCTACGAATCCGAGATGAAGCGCCCTTACTTCCACGTAACGGAGCTTGAGAGCTCGCAGCTCACCAACTGGCGCAAGTACCTCGACTTTGAAGAGTCAGAGGGGAACACCACCCGCATCGTCTTCCTTTATGAGCGGTGCTTGGTGACATGCGCTTTCTACGACGAATTTTGGTTCCGCTATGCTCGCTGGATGTCCGCGCAAGAGGGCAAGGAAGAAGAGGTTAGGATCATCTACCAAAGAGCTGCCACCATGTTCGTACCCATCAGCCGTCCTGGCATCAGGCTGCAATTTGCCTACTTTGAGGAAAGCTGCGGTCGTATCGACATAGCTCGCGATATTCATGCATCCATCCTCATGAAGTTGCCCGACTGCATTGAGGCCATCACCTCATGGGCTCACCTTCAGCGTCGCCAGAGCGGTCTGGACGCTGCTGTCGAGGTTTTCAAGGCGCAGATCGACTCGCCTCAAGTGGATATTTTTACTAAGGCAGCTCTGGTCACCGAGTGGGCCTTGTTCTTGTGGAAGGTCAAGGGCTCAGTGGAAGAAGCACGCAACGTCTTCCTCAAGAACGTACAGTGGTACGCCGACAGCCGTGTCTTCTGGGACAAGTGGCTCGAGTTCGAGCTTCAGCAGGCGACAAGCACGGAGCTGGAGGATCAGCACGGCGACCGCATCAAGCAGATCTTTGACGAACTCCGGAGCAAGAGCCGTTTGTCAGCTTCGACAAAGAAGGAGTTGTATCAGATTTACCTGTCATACCTGCAGCAGCGGGGCGGCAAGGATGCGATGAAGCAGTTTCTTGCCATTGACCGGGAGATCTTTGGGTATGTGAAGCCTTCTAGTATACTTATTTTCGAGTCGCAAGCTAACGATGACTGATAGGCCAAGTTCGATCTCACTGCTGGCCAAGGACAAGGTTGGCGGAAAAGAGAACGGAGCTGCCGTGGCCGAGTTGGACGAGGTAACAAGATACCGAGCCGAAGCCAGGTATCTCAGATACTACGAGCTCCAAGGCGAGCCAGACCTCGAGGGCCAGGCCACAGCGCCATTCAACTAAGCGGACGTGGCACCACTCGTCGTGGTGTGGGTTTTAATGCTCCAGGAGTTCCCGGTCCCTTGGGTATTTTTACTCCTCGATTTTCTTGTACTATATGAGTCGATTTGACGACAGATGATGTGCGGATGGCCGGCCTCGGGGAAATTGTATTGTATCCAGTGTTATGAAGGTGGTCTACATAGAGACCGGCGACGACCCGTACGGATAGACCATGACTGTTGGGGTGGAGGGGTTTGCTGAAGGCGCCAACTGGGTCGATGTTGTAGCTCTTGAGCACTACAAAACGCATTATCACAGCAGAAATAATAGCTCTTCAAATGAACATTGTTAAGAAATGCAGGGTCTTTAGTCTTGTGACTAATTTTTGGGGCCGTTGACCGGCGACGGAGGGACCTCGGTATCCACGTAGGCATAACGTTTCCGGGGAGCCAGCGCCGGTAGCACGGTAAGGTACCGGCATGGTCAATTTGCCGGCGTCCAGCTACGGTCAGCACCGATGGAAACCGGTGGTCGCCGAAGTCCCAAAGGAAAGGTGGGGACAACGTCGCCAGCCTCGAGGGCTTCAATGGAAAGCACACCTCGGGCTCTATGGGGATTGTCAAAAGTGTAAGTTGAAACTGTCCACAGTGAATTCGAAAGATGTTGTCAATGTGTGATTTTGTAGTCCTGGAGCCCGTCCCATGTCGCCGACATTGGGCAAACAAAATAAGTTGGAGGGTCAGAGAAGTCTCTATTTCTCTATCCAAAGATAGTGGCATAGATGATGCCTAGTGCAAGTGAAGGAGGTTGATTACCAAGCACAGACAGGGGTATACGAATTGAGTTGGCTTAGGAAGTTTTTGCCCGTTCTAGATGGTGTCATGATGAAGGGGCTAGCACAGCAAGAAGGGTTCAGATTTTCCGCCCTATCAGGGGCGGAGCTAGGCTAAGGTAAGTTTCCCGAGGAAACGGTTCTAGCCTGCGAGAGCACCGTTTTTGTTTTGGTAACGGGCCGGCCGTTGAGGAAAGAAAAAAAAAAGGGGACCAAAGGGGTTATGGTTTGCGCTGGAGGAACGATTGGCTAACCGGTCCCGAGGTACGTGTACCCTGAGGATTCTGCCTTTTCTTTAATTATATCCTTTTCGTGGAAGAGAGTGATACTACCTTACTGGAGGATATTGTTAGTTCGGATGTGAACCCGCATCATGGCGTGAGATTGAAGAGGGAGCATCCGAACCCGTGGGAAGTGGAGGGTGGGGGGGTTACCGGAGGAGGTAGCCGGTGGGAAAATGGCAACAATGGCATGCTTCTGGTCGTCATTGAGGGGTCCCTTTTGCTCTCAAGGCTTAATAGTAAGCAAGACGCCGAACAACCGAGAGCGAGCGAGTATTGTGCGCCGTGATGATGATGCGCTGCAACCCAGTTCAGTCCACGTGTTGAAAGCCCGGGAAGAAGGTTTTCTAGGCAGTATAGTAAGGTAGTCATTGTACTAAAGCAAATCCCGAGAAACAATGTTGAGTGAGGCGAGCAGTTAGTTGGCTGACGAGTCAGCGTTGCTGTCGAGTCCCGAGCACGTTGCTCATGTCTCGAGTCGTAGAGAATTAGCTGCAAAAATACATCTTTGGCGTTCATGGGATTTTGTTCAACAGTGTAGCTGCTTTTCGGGCAACTCTCAGATCCGCTGGGGAACGTGCCTGTGTTTTCTTTCCCTTCCCGACTCCCCGAGCGGCGAGCCCCATCTTACCATGCGTCGCCGTCCTGGGGCTCCTGAGTCAACGATGGGGAAACTGGGTACGGCGGGCGATTAATTACAAATACTGCAAGATGAAAGGACAGACGCGCGTGGTACAGTCAGCGGGGAACGTTCGGCCTGCTAGCCGAGGAATAATTGGGAACAACAGCTGTATGTAATGTCATTATATTGGGAAGCGAAAGATATCAATGAGGTTGTGACAAGTGCTGAAGACATTGATACACGGTGTTTGGAGTTGGTCTTTTTTTCTGCTTATGAAGTTATCCCTCGGAGATGTTCGGTTAGGAAGTTCAGCCCATTACGTATCGGAAGTCTAAACGACACAGTAAGGTAAGACTGAAGCAGAATAAGGACGGAAAAGGTTTGGAAGCCATGTGGCATGTGTCAGCGTAGACTGATATCATCCCGTGCGGGCCGTGTCATTTCGCAAGATACGGCGGGCGGTATCGGGGACCGGTACGTTTCGAACGTCGATTAAGGGCTCTGGTTTGCTAGCGCAGCAACCACCACGCACACCTTTCCCACCGTTTTACGGTTTACCCGTAGCCTACATGTGCCCATAAGAAAAGCGAGGAAGAAAAAAGAGAAATGCAACAGATATGGACACCAAACAGCCGCACAAGCGGGCTCCACAACGAAAGAAGGCCTAGAAAACGTAAATGGGAACACAACGCACGCAGCAGCACGCCTAACAAACTTGAGATATCCACATGGCGAGGCGGTCCCACCGTCCGTCCACGTCCATCGATCCTTGCACGCAGACCCCCGACGCAAGCCCTTGGATAGAAAGATGGATGCCCGCAAACACCCCGGTCGAATGCTGGAGCTCCTGCTTCTGACCACTCAGAAGTTCCCAATTTCTCATTTCACAAGTTCACGGGTGCCAGAGGTCCCCTCCCTCGGTTCTTGAACCCCCCTTCCCGATGGGCAATGGACCGTGGAAACTGACTCTACCTCTGCTAGTGTCAAAGGCAGGCTGGTGCCGGTGCAGGGTACATGTGTATTTCTCAAACGCCCCCGGGGCAACGAACATTCGAGATTTATATTCCAAGGGCCGCGCCGCCAGTCTCTCCTTCCATTTCACTTCCCCCCCTTCTTCGAAAGCTTCCTTCCCTTCTTCTAGTTCCTGCAATTGTGTTGTTGATGCCCCCCGGAACTTCATAACCACATCACCAAAGCTTCCACCAAGGTTGGTAACATCCAAACTCCCGCCAGAGCCCTCTACACAATCCCCTTTACCATTGAGCTCCCGTCCTGCCACCTTATCTCATATCGAGATTACCCGACACACTCGTGTCTCTCAATAAACACATCACACACACTCCCACAAGAAACCACCCCAAGTCTAACATTCCAACTCGCACAGATGGCCGCTTCCACAAGACAGTTCGCCCGCGCGGCGCTGAGAACCTCCACTAGAACCTCCTTCGCCGCCGCTGCCCCTCGGCAGGCCTTCCGCCAGCAGGGCCGCCGCTTCTACTCCTCCGAGCCCGCCAGCAAGTCCGGCAGCTCGACCTGGATCTGGCTCTCCGGCCTGGCTGTCGCCGGCGCCGGCGGCGCCTACCTCTTCACCAAGGAGGGTGGCGTCTCCGCCGGCTCCGTCCCCAAGGTCGTCAACCCCACCAAGGCCGACTACGAAAAGGTGTACAAGGTCATTGCCGACCGCCTCGAGGAGAAGGACGACTACGACGATGGCAGCTACGGCCCCGTCCTCGTTCGTCTTGCGTGGCACGCCAGCGGTACCTTTGATAAGTTGACTGGGACTGGTGGCAGCAACGGTGCTACCATGCGCTTCGCCCCCGAGTCTGACCACGGTGCCAACGCCGGCTTGAAGGCTGCTCGTGACTTCCTTCAGCCCGTCAAGGGTGAGTGAAGCCCCCTTCGCCTGCGAGCGACTGCTGCTGCTTCTGCTTGCCATTTGAACCAACCTTCGCTAACCCCTATGCGCAGAGCAATTCCCCTGGATCACCTACTCCGACCTCTGGATCCTCGGTGGCGTCGCCGCCATCCAGGAGATGCAGGGTCCCATCATCCCCTACCGTCCCGGCCGCAATGACGGTGAGGCTGCCGCCTGCACCCCTGATGGCCGTCTCCCCGACGCCTCCCAGCGTGAGAAGCACCTCCGTGACATTTTCTACCGCATGGGCTTCAACGACCAGGAGATTGTTGCTCTCTCCGGTGCCCACGCTCTCGGACGCTGCCACGTCGACCGCTCCGGCTTCGACGGTCCCTGGACTTTCTCCCCTACCGTCCTGACCAACGACTACTACAAGCTTCTGCTTAACGAGAAGTGGCAGTGGAAGAAGTGGGATGGTCCCGCTCAGGTAAGCCAACTTGCTTCTTTTTTTTTTCCGTTCGCGATCGCCGACTTGGCGCAAATTGAAACGCAAGAGCAAAGATGTGCTGACGATTTGACCGCGCAGTACGAGGACAAGGGCACCAAGTCCCTGATGATGCTTCCCGCCGACTACGCCCTGATCCAGGACAAGGCCTTCAAGAAGCAGGTCGAGGTGTACGCCAAGGATAACGAGGCCTTCTTCAAGGACTTCTCCAATGTCATTGTCAAGCTGTTCGAGCTCGGTGTTCCCTTTGCCCAGGGCACCGAGGAGCGCTGGACCTTCAAGCCCACTTGGCAGGACTAAAGCAGTCGCTTATCTTGTAGGGTGACTGACTGTGTTTCCGAGGGGAATTAAAAACAATAGAGCAAAGAAGAAAAAGAAGAAGGAAAAAGAAAAGAGATCTAGACCTTTTGAGACAAGAAGAGAGATATCCACGCGGAATGGCGTACCGAGAGACAGGAGGAAAGAGTCTGTTCGAGAGAGCGGCGGCCACTTGATGCCCCCTCTCCTCGAAGTTGGTTTTTGAGCGTCTGACCAAACTACCTGTAGTCCACTCCTGGACTTGTTTCCATATTTATGTTGTTTTATGTCCATAGTTCTTGTAAAACATCAACACGAACCTTGAAAGACCTAACGTACCGTCCGCACGAACGGAAATGTCCGCCTACAGCGTGGGAAGATTGAGGTGACATGAGGTCGGAATAGAGATGAGATGAGGGAGGGAGGGAATGAATTGTTCGATCGTCTTGACACTATTAAGTATTAGACGGAACCCCCCCCCCCTGGTCCAGTTTCCCCTCTCCCGCGCATTTTGACAAGCGTCACCACGCACGACGCACCCCCGGCTGGACGGGATTGACGGGAGCCGTGCTCGTTGCGCGTCATGCATGGCAGCGTTGTGGTCTGGAACGAGCAGGTGTCGGGCTGGACCAATCCCGGTTGGTGCCTGGGTACCTATTTCGTCCATCATCACCACCACACACGCCGACGCCATGTGCCATCCTAGCGGCCTGCTACCCCGGATTGGGGGGAGGAACATGGGGTAAGTAACGGCGCTTCCCCCGCATTCTGTAGCTTTATTGTTTGGGTGATGAAATGGTACCTTCAGATGACGGTTGTTGGTTTTTGATGGAGTTTAGCCTGTTTGTTCCGTGAACGAGACTTTTACGATCACAGTCTTCTCACCCCTTGTCCAGGAGCGATGCAGATGGATATCGAGTCTACTGAAGATAGCCCGTGACGCAGGACGCGCTTCTACTAGGCGAGGTGCTGTGTTTCGATCCTGGTCCATCATTGCAGATGCGAGACCAAGTCCGACCGGTCTTGAGATGCACACGTTCCGAAGTAATCGGCTGGCGGTGCGCCAAGTCCGGGAAGACTCCTCCGGGTCGTCGATTTGCAAGTCTAGCACACTCGGCATCCCCAGCTCTGGAAAGGAACACTCGCCCGTGAAACTGGGTTGTAAGTACGGTTTCGTTGCCGACAGTCGCTTTCTAAAATTTCGGATAGATTCTTGTACCTTTAATGATGTATTAGCCTCTTTCATTCCAGTTTAGAAGACAACCACATCTTTGTATGGTGTGGAATTCTGCAATAGAGAGATAGCTCGTGAGCGGATTACCACCCATGGCATACTTGTTTCCCTTACACTCTTTCTGTTTTGTTTCTCGATAATACAGGAACACATTGGTCTCCCGGCGTCCTTTGTGAGGCCAGGTCATACTGTATCGAGGTGGAGTGAAACTTGGGGAGCGCGGAACCTGATGCCCATGCATGACAGCGTGACGTCTCACAGATGAAAGGCATTCGCAGGCATCGCATGTTGTTCGTCGCCCTAGCTTCTGTTGAGCTTCCTCAAGTTCAATATCGTAAACAGTGTTTCTATCATGCTAGGTTCCGTGATGGTCCGAGGCATCGTATGAAGCGGCAAGGGGTGATAGAAAGCAGAGATGCCTTGCCTACCATTCGCCACGTCGTGGACTGGATGCTAGAGTGCGCGATTACCTCGGTGAAGTCTCCCGAGGCATCTCGTCTTCCGTTTTCGGATTCATGGCGTGCTCATAATACCCCTTCTCTTCGTGTTTATTATTCAGGCGTGGGAAGAGCTGCTGCAGGAGGTTTCGTTGACGATTTGATGAGGCGGAAGTAGGTTTGTTTACTCCAGGGGACGACTGAGCCAGAATGACTTGAAAGAATTTGGGAGATTGAGTGCCGTCCTTGTAACGCGGACTTGAAGTGCGAAACTAGCCGAGACCCATCTCTCGTAACACCGAAGACATTTCGGAATGGGAAATAGAGATGGAGATGGAAATACAATGGAGAACGTAATGTAACCAAGGAGCGGTTTACTGAGGGTGACTTACTCGAGATGAGTGCGCAAGAGACCACATCAAATCAGAGTGAGGTAGACCTTGAATTTCACTTATTTTCCGCGATTCTCAAGGTCATTAGATAAAGGACGGGAGTAAGTATCTTTTGAATCACCCGGAGCTCCGTACTTTATTTACAACTCCCCGTCCGGCGCAGCTAATCCGTGGTCGGCATCTTAGCTGCACCGAAAACCGGCCCCACCATCCGGGACCCACCAGAGCTCTGCAATTGAAGACGCTGCATCTTCAAGTGACATCCACCCCAGTAAAAATTATTGCCATCTCCCACCGTCATCACCATCATTAACCCAACATCACTCCGCACTCAAACCATCCACGGCCATTGGTCGCTTTCCGCATACGGACCGCATACGAACTGCCACGAGGGCTACACATCGAATTGCGACGCCCGCACGCCTACACACGATACACACACCGACAATGGCCTCCTGCCGCATCCCAACCCTACGGCACCTAGTCACCACCTCCCAACGCGCCTTCCGCGCCTCAAACCAACGCCGCTGGGCCCAGGTCCACGACGCCCGCTTCCTGGCCACGACCCAACAACCCCGCGCCGTCGTCGAAAAATACCGCGCCAAACTCGAGCAAAAGGCCCAGCAGGAGGGCGTCTCCAATATTGACGAGCTCAAGGCCGCCTACGCAGACAAGATCCAGGAGCAGAAGAAGAAGGACGCCCTCTCCGTGCCGGGCCTCGAGCACCTCCTCAACGACGAGCCCGCGCCCGCGGCGATACCCACGACGGCTACGACGAACGAGACGGAAGGCCAGACGCAGCAGACGAAACAAACGGCCACCACCACCCCGATCCCCGGATCCTCCTCCGGCAACGGCGTCAAACCCCTCGACGAAATCCTCGACCTCCCCAAGGCGCGCGAGCTGCCGGACAAGGAACTCATAGCCATCTGGCGCCTCCGCCACGCCTCGGACCCGTCCTCCCTCTGCGCCGTCATCCCAGCGTCAACCTACGCCCAGATGGAATCCCTCGCCCGCCAAAACCCGCAATTCATCCTCCCCGTCCCGCACGAGTCCCAGGGCGCCGAGATTCACTTCTTGCAATGGGTCTTTGACGCCGCCTCGCGCACCGCGACCGTCATGTTCACGCAGCTGGCCGAGTTCAAGGCGCGCGGCGAGTTCGCGCAGCCGCACACGACGATTACGCACCACACCGACCTCGCGGCCGAGAGGGGGCTGGTGCTGATGCAGGGCAAATGCCTCGAGGACCGCGGGGTCAAGACGGCGCATGCGCAGTGGCTTGTGTTGTGTCTGCAGCGGTTTTATGGCGAGGCGGAGGGCAAGGAGAGGGCCGAGGAGAGGAGGAAGTTGTTGGAGTGGTTCCGGTTGGGGGATGAGCGGTTTAGTGTCGAGAAGCTTATGGAGGAGGCGGAGCGGATTAGCTGAGTTTGAGGCTTCTTTGCTTTGTTCGGTGTAGAAAGGGAGGGTATGCCGCCTCGGGATGGCCCTGGTGTGGGTGAAGAAGATAGATCGTGAGCCTACTGAGAGAAGAAGTGGGCTCTTGTACAAATGTTCCAGCAGGACAGTGTAAACCACAGAAAAATATACCATATTCTAGATACATCACATCATTACCTAAATTCCAGCAATAACTCTCCTGTGTAAAACGTTGTGCCCCTTTCGAATATAGAAAGTATACATTCCAGAGATACTTTGCCGATATCTTGACGGCCTTTTTTTAGGCTCTCTTTCCTGAAAGACTAGTACAATCCCTCATCATCACTGGCCGTCCCATCCTGAAATGAAGCAACGGCTTTACCCTTCCCCTTTCCCTTGCCATTCGTAATAGTGCCATCACCTTCAGACCCATAATGATCGTCATCGCTGCCCAAGGCCAAGGCTTTCCCTTTCCCCTTGGACGACGCGGCCGCAATCGCCTTGCCCTTCCCCTTGGAACTAGCCCTCGAAACAACAGAGGACCCAGAAACAGCCCTATTCCCACCAGCCGACGCGGCGGCAGCGGGAGCAGGCCGTTGCTGCTTCTCCGGCGTCCCCTCGAAGCTAGCCCTCACACTCTCATAGTGCGCCAGCTCGCCGGCGCTGACACTCGGCACGAGCTCGTTATGCGCATTCATGAAGTCCTCCTCGGTGACCATGACGGCAATGTCCTCGGGCGTGGCGTGGTGATCGAAAAAGTAGGCCGTCGAGATGGGTCCCTGCGGCCTCTCGGCGTTGATGTCGCGGATCTTTGCGTCGACGGCGGTGGCCTGCCGCGTGACGGCCTTGAGCATCGCGTCGCTGCATAGAGCGTAGAAGTCGGCTCCCGTGTAGGTGAAGGGCAGTCGGTCCGCGACGGCCTGTAGAGATACTGCGGGGTGGAGGGTGAATCTAGGGGAAAACGTCAGTACATACACAAACACACGATTGGTGTCTCCGTGGAGGAAGGGGAGGGGGTTCTTACTTTCGAGTGAGAGCTTCGAGGATCGTCCGCTGCTTGTCATGGGTGTCTGACACGCCGAGATACAGCATCTTGTCGAAGCGTCCGGGACGGAGGAGGGCGGCGTCCAGCAGATCAGGTCTGTTCGTGGCGCCGATGACGAAGACGCCGCCGCTGGTATCATCGCCTCCCGACATGCCGTCTAATTCGGCGAGGAGTTGTGAAACGATGCGATCCATCACACCACCGCTGTCTCCTTGGTTTCCACGCTTCGGCGCCACTGAATCCAACTCATCAAAGAAGACGACGCAAGGGCGGGCATCTCTGGCACGTTGGAACACACGTCTGACGTTGGCTTCCGACTCACCAATGTACATGTTGAGGAGCTCAGGACCCTTGACGCTGAAGAAGTTCAAGCTGTACTCCGTCGCAATGGCCTTGGCCAACAGGGTCTTTCCGGTACCGGGGGGTCCGTAGAACAGGATACCCGACCTCTTCTTCATGCCCTTGGCGAAGAGTTCGGGCCTCTCGAGGGGCAGCTGGATGGTTTCCGTCACCGCATCCTTGACATTGGTCAGACCACCGACGTCGTCCCACGTGACGTTTGGAATCTTGGGCGCGCCGATGGCGCCTGCGAAGTTCTTTCGCGCGGCTTCGACCGCGACTTCAAAGTCGCTCTTGGTGACGCAACGTGCCATTGGTCCGCCGGCAACCTGAAGATCTCGGACTGTCACAGCCTGGCCACCGGTCTCTGTTTTCGAAGAGATCTGCTCAAGCCTCAATCGCTGAGCGATGAGTGCTCGGTCAACCACGTCTACAAGGTCACCAGCCACCAGCGCCGCGGTCTTCAGAGCTATACCATTAAGGTCAACTTCAGGGTCCAGGTTGATGCCCCGGTCTTCGATGATGGCTCTCAGGATGCCTTCACGCTCAGCTTCGTCAGGGGCACCCATTTCAAGCTCGTGGCTAAACAGACCGCGAACTCCATCCGGCACCTTGTCAACGTCACTGGTTGTTGCAATCAAGACCCTTGTGTCCTGAAGAATCTCCTTCATCGTTGAAACCAAACGCTCAGCCGTCAGGGCTTCAACATGCCGGATCAGCAAGGCTGTAGTTTCTGGTCCGCAGCTCATCGCTCTCTCTGCCCTGGTTCGCAGGAGACCCTCTGTTTTTACGTCACTGCCGCTAGTCCCCGCTTCGCTGAGGATATCATAGGCGTCGATCGAGTACGTGTGCAGGCCAATGTCCGAACAGGCATCTGATGCAATAGTCGCTTTGCCAATGTTGCGGTGGGTGGCAGTCACTAGAATCGCGACAGGCGGCATCTTCAGATGAACAGCTCTGGGGCTGGTGGCCGCCGCAAGCAACTCCCGCAGACGCCGCCGGAGAGGCGAGATATAACGCTGGTCTTGTTCGGGAAACGTCAGTGATGAAGCACTCGGCGCCTTTGACGGTAGTCTCTTCACGCCCAAGTAGTATGGCCAGGTGTTGGACTTGGTTGCGGGGATGCGATTCGTGGCGAACCCAGAGCCGTGCATCGCGACAGATGAGCTATCGATGCATGCGACCCTTCCCCATAACTCCTCAGAGTGGTCGTTGTCGGCATCAGACTTTGCGAACTGAATGTGCCCAACCTTGAACCATGCCACTTGATCGTACCTCGATGATCCCTCTTTCGACAAGGCCATCACGTCGTCAACTTCCGATCCATTGCTTCCACTGGGCTGCTCTTGGAGAGCTTTACCCAGCTGTGTGTCGATGGGTACGGCAATAAGATCGCCGGTCCGTACAAGCCGAATCTTCTGGGCAAAGTAACGCTTGAGACCCCCGAGAACCGCCGACTGATAAGCTCGCTCCGCGGTCACGGGCGAACGAACATGCTGTATCGTGATATCACGGGCATAGGGAGGGCGCGATGCGCTTGTGAACTTTGGAAGAGTCCCCTTTCCTTGGTACGTTCCTCGTTTGATGGGTGCTAGCCTAAGATTCGAGGGCTCATCGAGATTGGCCAACAAGACTGGAGAGATATACGCTGCCGGGCTGCTGGGTTTCTGGAGCTGAGACTCAAAGAAGGACAGCCTACGTTCGCCGTGCTTCGCGCTTGGTATGCGCGTCACAGGACGCTGAGTATAGCCCTCTGGAAGACCGTATACTCTCACAGGCCGCCAGTTGGACTCGACAGGCTCGAGTGATGCGAAGCTGCCTAGGCCAAACGCACCGAAGCCATTCGTAGGGGGTTCTTCTGCAGCCTCGACACGGACCCAGTCTCCCGAAAAGCAGCCAATCTTGGATAACGAAGATATGTCTACAAAGATCCTAGCTTCGTCATCGTCTTCCGGTGCCGGTTTGGGATGAAGCAGGTCCACGGGGATAGTACGAACCAGCCCCTGAGCCTTGAAAAGTCGACCTCGGGGCCGGTCTGGGCGTGCTGTAGTCGCAGTGAAGTTGGAAAATACAGAGGCGGGAGTGGCGATTCCATTGGTCTTTCGGCCCCTCCCAAGGGTCATCGGAGTCCCTGGCTGCATTGTGGACACGCCACTTGCTGCAGTGGTAGGCAGCGCTGGCGCCTGCAGAGAGATCATGTCGTCCATGGAATCGTCGGAAAGGTCGTCATCCTGATCGATACCGGAGAGTTCCGACTCCTCTGTCTCGGTCACGGAGTCTATCTCCGTGTTCGCGGCATCGGTCCTGTACCGATCTTCGGCAGCCGAGTAAAACTGGTCATTGGCCGTGTCATCCTCCTCATCCTCGGGAACGCCGTTCAGGCTACGGTTCGGGGGAATCGAAGGAGCGACCTGGCTGCGCTTCGTGTGTGATCGTCCTCGCATCAGAATAATCTTGGTGTTTTCGGACAGGATCCCCTGACTGACAGGCTCGCAAAGCATAATCTTGCCCGGGTTCGGGGGAATATGGGTGACCGGGTGCGGCGGCAGCGGCAGAGGGAAGAGGTCGCCGGAGTGTAAGACCTTCAGGCTCCCCAATGCGCCACGCAAAGCTGAAATTAGGCGGCCTTCAGGAGCATCTGAGAGTGCGGAACCTTGGCCATTGCCATTGCTCGGGTGGTCGCGATAAAAGGTGCCTTCGCCCTGCTCTAAGCGCCTCGTCAACTCGCTCTCCAGGCTCACATATACTGTATCTAGCGAGAGCGTGACTACATCGAGTATCTTGATCTCGATGCCGCTGCGACTGTTGCTCGAGAGCTTCGACGGCGCGACTTGTTGGAGTATTGTGGCAAAGTTCTGCAGTGACAAGGACGAGGGCGAGAACTGGACGGTCGAGGGCTTGAGAGCGGAGGACTTGACGACGGGCACTACAGTCCATGCGGTTTCGGTCGCGGTAGGGCTCGGTTCCCAAGGGGCGATGGCAACATGGTGTATGTCTTCGGAACCGTCTTCGTGAGAGGGCGCTGCGCGTCGGTAGAGTCAGCAGTTGCACATGCGAGGCCGCTTGCGATGGGCGCATTCTTACCGTCACGGAGGTGGGGGAAGAGGTCTGCGAATAGGTCCTCGGATAGAATGCCCACGTCTCCCCTTACGTCGTGGTCATCGAGGATCAGCCTGGCTGATATGGCTGGCTTATCCTGCCGACGCCGTCGTGCTCTCCTGTTTCTCCTCGCCTGAGAGGGCGGCGCGAGTTCCGAGGTCGTCATCGTGCTATTCGAGAGGCGTTGTGTGCACGGCGATGGGTTGTAGCGCAATTCAGTTGCACATCGCACAGAGGGAGAAACAAGAAGTTCTGAAAGCCCGCGGAGTACAAAAAAGAGAGAAAACCACAGGTAAATACACAGTCAATTGGTGTCGGGGGTATCAACAGTAGTAGGTTTGTGAGGCCATATCGTGATCTCCGCGTTGACAAGCTACGGTTAAGCTATCCAATGGTCCCTGGACCGGGCTGTGGTCGGGGCCCGCCCGTCCCCAGCTTCGGCTTGGGGAAGTCTCTAGGCCTCGGCATTGGCGTGTTGCCAGCTGCAGCCGGCTCACCTCCAACCTCCTGGGGTCTCCGCTGAGGGCAGCACAGCTGCATGGCACCACGGGCAGTTACTCTCGGCCTCTCAAAGTCGAGTCAAAAAACCAGTGTGGGGAATGCTGTCTGACTAAGCATCTGGGGTTGGGCGTCAACCCCGAATAACCTCCGATCTCATGTCCGATAGCGCTCCTACAACATTTACATTAGTCTCTAACAGCTGTTCTTTGCCAGGAGCTGATGGCGAGAAGCTGGCTCGCATCCAAATCCTGGGCTCCAAATTGCATGAACGAGGAGCTCTCAAATACCACATCAGCAAAAGATAAAGTCGCGACAACCCAGTCAAGATGACAACATCTTTGAAAAGTAGGATTGTATGCTGGCGCTGAAAGATGAGTAGCTTGTCCTTCAGAAGTGGCCAATAGCACAAGTAATTCCAGCGAACAATACGGAGTAGAATGCCGGCGACTAGACAAGCAGGCGCCAACAGCATGGAGGATCCCACACTGCCACTCAGTAAGCAGCGGTATGTGCATTGCTTGATTCGCGGCTTATACCCGTATACGATGACGACGAAAAGCCCATCTTTGGGGAAGCATGGCACCCAGGCGGCCCGCCCTGACCCAGTCGATGGAGACAAAAGAGGTTCCGAAGTTCAAACTACTCCGTACGTACACGGTACAACACACATAGCGTCACAGCCTCACCTTGATAGAAACACAACCATGGAAGGCAAGGTAAGGCAAGGTAAAGTGGCAACCGCAGAACCTGCTGCAATATTCTCATCACCCTTGATGACGAGATGATTCCACTTGTCCGCTGCCAGTTGAAGACTGAATGGTGGTTTATCGATCAATCGTAGATACAAACTCTGGGTATAACCAAATGCATATTATGAAGGCATCGCAGGTGTTAATGTTGACCAGGTTTCCCTGGGATGTGCTTTTGAACTCGCACTCGTATTTCGCATGTTCAGTATGATTAAGATTTGCCTATGATCGGACGTCATGAGCAGAATTCATGGCAGGCGCGCGGAACTCGAAAGGTTACGACGATACCTTGAGTGATAGAAGGCGGTTGGCAAACGAGTCTCGAATTTTCACAATTCATCCCATTTGCTCGTTTTCCAAAGAACCCAAGGTACGGATTGATGTGTTCAAGATCGAGTTCATCTGGCTGTTGTCAATGCTATCGATGTCATCAGCATTCGTACGCATCAATGATGCTTGTTTTGCAAGGAGGAGAAAAAAACGAGACAGGTTCGTCACATGCTTTTTCGTCCGAGTAATTTCACAGCCTCTGGAGACTGGCACCCAATCATGGCATGGCCTTGAGCAAATGCTCCGAACAACACACACAGCAATGACGCAAGCGGGGCTCCTCCCTCTCTCTTGCTTCCTTCCCGTGTCTTCGGCTCAACTGGTGGCTCGACGCTTCCGAGACCTCAAGGCTCAGCCGGCAGCGGCTGGTCGGCGCCTCAATTCTCACTCTCAAGTCTCGTCTGTTGTTTGTTTTTTGCTGCAGCCAAGGGAAATGACAGGGAAGGGAGGCCCGAAAGAGGCGCCAAACAGAGTTTCAAATGGCAGCGGCTGGACCTCGTGGACTCCAGGTCTCTGCTTCCGTCACCCGTGCTTCGGATGTGAGGCGTAACTTGCTAAGGCATGGTCAATGTCACCTTTGAAGCATGAGATTGACCACGATAGAATTCGATCTGGACCAACATCGACGTCAATCACCCCACGATTCTTGCGGTGAGACCGACTGGTCAACAATCGAGAGCAATCATTAAGACCATATGTAATGGTTGCAACTTGCAAGTTGCCCCTTATCTTTGTTGGTCTCCAATGTCCCTTAGTTCGCCTCTCTCCCTTTTCATCCACCCGCCAACCCGTTCGTGCCGTTTTAGTTGCTTGCCAATTACCAGATGAGGACATTACTTTGATTATCCCTACCCGTACATCCCCAATTTACTCTTACACCCCCCTTACCCTCCCACCCTTCTTCCTCTCGGATCTACACTTTTGCTACCCTGCCTTGGAAAACCCTCGACACCATCTCCGTGATGCCTGTTCATGCTATCAGTGGCTGTGAAAACCACTCTTGACAAGCAGAATTCTACCTCAATCAATCTCTCGTCAACTTCATCTCATATCTTTATTCAGTCGCGCAAAGAAAGCGACTGCCCTACCCCTTTCCGCGCTTGAATCCCTTCAGAAACGAAACTGTATAATTCTCGCGTTCGTTGCCGATCATCGTTTTTCTCGCGCGACCGTCGCATACCATCTTGTAACCCCGAAACGCCATGGGCAACTTTTCCGAGTCCCCGGATCGCGGCCGAGACCGAAGACACGACAATGGCATCGCACAGACTGCCATCAAGTTCGCACAGCAAGCCGAGAAATTGTCACTGCAAAAAAGCGAAAGCAACAACAACGATTCCGAGGTTGCCGTCGAAGCCCGCTTCGTAACACCTCAAGACCCTGTTATAGTCACATCGGACGGCAAGAGACTACCGGGTGTACCACTTCAAGAGGCGCACAAGTTGAACATTTTGAAAGAAGAACTTCGAGACGGTCCTGCTGTGGCCAAGACCGAGGAGGGAAATGACACCGATGGCAAGGTCGCAAACGCTGGTTTGTTATCCGAGAAGCGAGAGATGATTGTCTCTCTACCGACCGATGCAAACGGGAAGTCCATGCAGAAATCGGGAGAAGCCCCTCTTCGTCGCCAAACGCCTCCCTCACATACCAACCCATTATTTCCGCCTTTACCTCTGTACGGGCCTCCGTCAATATTTCGCAATTTCCAATGTTTGGTATTCCGCGTCTCGGCATTCTTCCTCAGTCTGGCATTTCTCGGTGTCATTGTGCTGGGTGCGCTTTTCACCAGCATCCCACCGCTGTGCAAGAGGATCTTGTATCGCCTTACACTGCAGAATCCCGACAAGAAGAGGCCCTTCCACGAAGAGGAGGCATACAGGGCCAACATTCGCAAGGAGGAGAACCAAAAATGGAAGCGCAGCAAGACCAGCGATAAGCTAGGCAAAGTGAATGAGGCCGCTGACGAGTTTATTCCGACCGAAGGGGGACCCGATCCGATCGTCTGCGATGTGGGCTACTATGCTCGCCGTGTTGGCCTGGATGTTGAGGAAATCGAGGTGCAGACTGAGGACGGCTTCCTCATCGACCTCTGGCACGTTTACGACCCTAAGGAATACACGAGGATGAGCGAAGACGACAGGTCCGACAGAGGCCCCAACGTCTTCCAGTCCTCCAAGAAGAAGCTAAAGGACCCCAGCCGGAAGCGCAAGTTTCCCGTCCTGCTCATCCACGGTCTTCTCCAGAGTTCCGGCGCGTACTGCACAAACGACGAAAACTCGCTGGCTTTCTACCTATGCAAGTCTGGCTACGACGTCTGGCTGGGCAACAACCGATGCGGCTTCAAGCCTAAGCACACCTCGCTCAAGTACACCGACCCGAGGATGTGGTGCTGGAACATCCGGCAGATGGGCGTCTTTGACCTGCCGGCTCTGACGTCGCGCGTACTCTACGAGACCGGCTTCGAAAAGATTGGGTTGATCTGCCACTCGCAGGGCACCACCCAGACGCTGGTCGCACTCGCCAAGGAGCAACGGCCAGATCTAGGCGAAAAGCTGACTGTCTTCTGCGCGCTCGCGCCAGCCGCCTATGCCGGTCCCCTGATTGGCAAGATGTACTTCAAGTTCATGAGAATCATCACGCCAGGCATGTTCAGGTTGATATTTGGCATCCACGCCTTCATCCCCTTCATGATGCAGATGCACCAGCTGCTTCACCCAAAGGTCTACGGCTGGCTCGGCTACAAAGTGTTTTCGTTCCTCTTCGACTGGACGGATACGAGATGGGACCGCGGGCTCAAGGATCGCATGTTCCAGTTCGCACCCGTCTATGTCAGCGCCGAATCGATGCGCTGGTGGCTGGGGAGAGAGTGCTTCGCACGGCACAAGTGCATCCTCTCGACAAAAGAGGACGTCCGCGCCGAGGAGAAGGAGGACAACATCAACGGGCATGATACCAACAATAGCAACGGCAACAGCCACACGCTCCGAGCCGACGATGCGGACGGCCTCATGTCGCAACGGACTGTGGACGACCACATCCGCAGACCAAAGGGGTCCACAGCCTGGTACAACGAGCAAGTGCCTCCCTTTGCCCTCTGGGTTGCGGGCAACGATGACCTCGTGGACGGCAAGAAGCTCCTCCGACGCTTCGAGCGTGGGCGCGAGCCGCATGTCAATGTGGTACACAGCAAGGTCATACCTGAGTACGAGCATCTCGACGTCATCTGGGCCATGGACGCTCCGGAACAGGTGTTTAGGGAGGTACGCGAGGTACTATGGAAGACGTGCGACGTCAGGGACATGTGTCGGGTGCCGGTGGCGTGCGAGGAGGTTGAGCAGTGGGTGCGGCCGCCGCCGAGGAAGCCCACCAACGGGGTTGTGGAGGAGAGCCAATCCAGCAGTGACGAGACTGAATAGAAGTCGGGCTGGGACGGGAGGCGGTATTGGCCTCTGTCGTTGTTGTGCTGGGTCGATTCTTTGGACATCATCTTGACTTATAGATATACAGGCTTTGGCTGTCTGTTGGGCAGTGGGCATCGCGAAGGAGTAAACGGTACTGGCGCATTGGGGTACACAACTTGGAAATAGGGACATCAGGCACATAACCTATGAGTAATGGTAATGAAATGAGTTTTTAAAGCGGAACATGGTACCATTGCCAGTGATTTGGAGATGTGAAGACACATATAACTACACCACGCGACAGCAGCACCTAACTTGTTGCGCGTCAAAGGGGACCTGACCAAGCATCCGCGGTTGATTCGACAAGGCCATGTTCGGTAGCAAGAAAGTGTACTGTTCAGGGCCAGAGACGTCACAGTCTGAGATGAAAGCTACACGTATTCCCATCAAAAACATCCAACATCTTCCCAATTCCTCGTCCCAACTGCTCCTGCACAACAACTATGCGTCTCCCACAGGCTTCCCATCGTCCTTGGGCTCTGCCGGCTTAGGCCTGGAAGCTATTTCTGTCTCCTTCGCCTTTGGCCCAGCATCCTCCTTCTTCGCCTCAGTGGCCTTCGGCTTCGTCTCACTTTCACTTTCGTCCTCATCCTCTTCACTGTCATCGCTGCTGTTCTCGCTATCATCTTCATCTTCGTCATCATCTTCCGCAGCCGGCGCTGCCTTGGCTTCTTCGGCAGGGGCCGAAGTCTGTTCCGTCGCCGCAGCCTCCTTTGGCACAGCTGCCTTCTCCGCCACGTCGAGCTTGGTTGTGTCCTCAGCTGCCTGCTTTTCCGGCTCCTCCTTTATGATCCCCACTTTCTCAACCTCGGCAACCTTCTTCTTCTCTGACTCTTCTTCCTTCTTCAGCTCCTCCTTCTTCGGCTCCTCTGTCTTCGGCTCCTCCTTGATGGCCTCCGCCTTTCCAACCTCAGCAATCTTCTTCTTCTTCTCCGACTCTTCCTCGTCAGAGTTCTCCTGGCTGGGCTCCTCCTTGATAGCTTCGGCCTTCTCGACTGCGGCAATCTCTTCCTGCGACGCAGAAGCCACTTCGGCGCCCATATGGACCGTCACGGGCTTATCGACATCGGAGGGCTTCCACCGGGCTGTTGTCGGCGACTGAAGTGTCTCGCGCAGAGCATCTGGGTTGGTTGCCGTAGTAGCAGCGACACCCCAAGAGCCCGTAGTCGGCGACTGTAGGCCGAGGGGCTTGGCGCTCTGGGCTGACGAACCACTGCTAGTGCTTGCTACGGAGGGCTTTCGGGGCGTTTCCGGGGTCGCAGTCGTAGTTTCGGCAGCGGCTTCGGCCTCAGCCTTCTTCTCAGGCTCTGCGGAGGTCGGCGTCGACGCAGTGGCAGTGGCAGCTGCAGCTTCGCCCTCGGCCCTTTTGTCTGCGGCTGCCTGTACCTTTTCGCGCAGCGATTTCAGCCGGATTTCCTTGGCCCTCTTAGCTGCCTCGTCGGCGATGGACTGGTGTGACGCGGTCGAGACGCTCTCAACAGGTGACTTTGGTGTACTGGCAGGCTTCTCTTTGACAGGTGCTGCAGCGCTTGATGCCGCGTCCGTTGGCAAGGGAGGCGCAGGTGGTGGCGCAGGAGCGGAGGAGGAAGACTCAGATGCAGAGGCAGCTGCAGCGGCTTTCGCTGCCAACGTGCCCTTTGGTACTTTTTTGATGATTTTCTTCTTGACGATTTCCTTGGGCTTATTGTTGATATCGGGGATGGTGAATTCGTCGTAGTAGATCTTGACGTGCTGCTTGAGCTCGCCATATTCGTTCCATTCTTCGATCTCGACGATATCCTGATTGGATTGAGGAGTGTCAGAAGACGGTATCTCCTTGGCAAGCCTGACTAAGGGAAGGGGTATATAATCTTACGCCGAGCACAAGGCCTTCTTGTATGAGAGCTGGGAGCTTCCTGGGCCGGCCCGAAGCATCTTTGCCGGCACGGCGGCCCCAGAGCATGCGGGCCTTGTCGTCGGTAGAGAGATCGATGGCTTTGAAGGGGACGCGGTTGGCGCGCAGGATGGTCTCGAGACGGGATGTGGCGGTCACGATGTGCATATTCCCAGCGGTCAAGGAAGTGAAGATCCATAGAGCCGGATCGGTAGAGAAGGTGGTTGCAGTTAACTGCGCCATGATGCTGGATTCGGTATGATTCGAGGCGGGTCGATTCGATGGGATGCAGGGAAGAGCTCCTAAGGCTGAGGAGAGGGGAGAAAAGGGACAGCTACTGGGAAGCTAAAGGGGTAAGATTCGATCAGTATGAGCTTAGGAGATATCGAGATGCAGATGGGGAGAATTATGACACAAGGGAAGAGGGAATATGCATGGTGGGGAGCCTTGCATTACGTACCTTGTGACTGATTGTTCTTTGGGGTTATCGATGACATGTATCCGTAGCTGCGTTCCAGTGAGACGATGCGGTGCTGCTTGATACGCCGGTAGCGGTTCAGCGGCTGCTGGTGGGGGTTCCACGCAGATGAAACTCGAAGGGTCGTGGCTGGAGACTGTCGGTGCTAAGCGTATGGCTCGAGGACATTCCTTACCTAAGGCATGCGGGGGCGGGGTAATGCAATCGTACAGCAGGTACTAACTACTCCGTACTACCTACCTAAGGAGCTGATTCAAGGTTGGCTTTCAACTCTACCCGGTCACTTCAAAGATGAAAGGAAGGTATTCAGACTCCCATTACTCTCACCTCTTGCCTGACTGGACGCTAGACAACGCAGTGGCGCCCGATGGTTCGAGGATTTGGAAAGTAGCAGGAGTGAGGTGGCTTCCTAAATGAGCTGGCAGAGCAAAGCTGCAAGATGAGGTGTTCAAAAGTGGAAAGCGTCACGCGATAAGCGCTGCCCAGAACCAACTTGGCTCCTTCCTACCTATGCTCTCGCATTTTCATGTCCAAGACTCCAGTGTCGCCGTCTCACAGATTTCGAAGAACTTCATCCACACATGTCCCGGACTCACCTTCGCCCGGCCTGACATCTCATGGTAATGTAGCATCGGATCACTGCCGCCATACGCCTCCAACACGACTATAATGCAATTTCACACGACTGCGATGTCAAGCCGGTCAACCATACTTCTTACCGCAAGCTTCAAGAAAACCTATGGTTCTTAACGGGGGGAACAAAAAAGTCACATTTTTGGCTGTCGATGTCGCTCTTGTCATACATTTGGGAATCCCGATTGTCAACAGCCAAGAACAAGCTTATAAGTCTTCTAATACGGAGTACTGGCACACATGATTTGGCAGCCATCAGCAAACTCTGACCAAGTGGGAAACAGCGTGATCCTGAACAGCTACGAGCGCTAAAGACTACCAGCCAGTACATTAAATTGAACATGACAACAAAGACAAAAATCAGCGGATTTGCCGGCGATTGAACAGACACAATGGCAAACTCAATGTGACACCGTCTGAATGGCCTATGCGCAGTCACCAACACGCCGACTTTGCCGTCGAATAGGTCGACGAAGCCATTCACACTTCATTGCAAACAGCCCCAACAGGGCGCCCAAACAGCCGCAGCAAGGGCTTCCCTGCAGTGAGCCGACTCCTCAATCAAACACTTCACGAGAGGCCATTGCCGTTGTTGCAATCAACGTGGAGGCGGAATACACAATCGCACGATGTGACTACAAGGTCTGGAAGCGACAAGCAATCGTTTCAAAGTCCCGTTTCAGCTTCGAAGAGCCGTCCTGGACACCTGGCCCTCTGGAATCAAAGTTGCGATATGTTTCACCACAAGCCAGCTCCACTGGGCCACGAAACATTCGCATCCTCAACTCTGGACCAGGCTGTTGTGACGGTACTCCGTCGCGCCGACGATCGCTGTCAAAATCCGTATTCGGAGGGGCATTCTACGGATACATCATTATCTTCTTCTTCACAGATCCTCATAAAGCCCATCACTGCACAGTGCCCACTTGTTGGCACCTTGGCCTCATCTCGCGAAAAAGAGAAGACATCCACGACATCTACGCTTCTTAAGCCACTTGAGCCAGCTGGATAAGGAACTCCCGGGGCCCTTGCTTCCAAAATGCTGGCACCTCCACAGCGCTGTACATCCATGATTTTCCCCTCTGAACGGGAAATGGCGGTGGAGCCTCCCCATGATTGAGATCATTTCTCGCGCCGATTCGCAAGTGCTCCGACAGGGAAGCACTCCGGAAACAGCTTATGGTTACTCAAGACGACGTCGCCGGATTGGCTGGGCGAGGGTCGACCTGACCGATGTTTCTCGCCCAGGGCCCTAGGCCTGGGGTCACACCGTGGAACCGCGCAATGACCGAGCAAAGAAGAGAGACAGAGACCTGAATCTCAATCGGCCGAACGATAACAGCGGGACGATGCACATCGTCATTGCAGACGTAGACACATTTAGTGGTGTGCCTGTTGTCAACCGCTGAAAACCACGCCAGCGCCTGCGCAAATGCTGTGCTTCTCCCTGCAGTCGCACGATCCCGAAATAAACCGGTCGAGCGGCTCAAGACGAGCTAGATTTTTCGTCGACTCCTCTAACCAGATTCCGTCGGTCAGCGGATAACAAACGGCGTCGGCGCCATGGCGGGAGCGCAGAGCAATGGCTTGATTCCCGAGGACAGTGGCGGCCCCAAGCGGTTTTTACGGTGCCAACCAACAGCTCTGAGTCCCGACACAAAAGTCAGGATCATCTACGGGGTGGGGGAATGGAAAAGACGTGATGACGATGAAAATCCTTGGTCTCGGTGGGCAATGATTGGCAAGCGCATTTCCCACGTCGCCCACGTTCCGACGGAGAGGGATCCAACACCCAACGTTTGCTGCCTCGCCCCCGTCATCCCGTACAGCAAGCCAGCGAAAAGAAGAGAGACATGGCAAACAAGCAACGGCAAGCCGCAACGCAGCATCGACCTTGTCTTGGCGTCAATGATGACCTGGAGATTCTGTGGCGGCTCTGACTGGTCCTGACTCTGCCATCTGCTCACAAGTTCGGATGAGTTGTTTTCCAATGCACCAGGATACGCTGTTCCTGCATATTGCTAGCAGGGGTTCTGGAGGCGATCCGCCAGGGCTCTGCAGGCACGAACCAGTGGGAGCTGCAGGCTGAGAAGACCAAGAAAATCTAGAGCAAGGTCCCGTCAGCGAAGCCGCGAAGCGCAAGCTTGCGCCGTGCAGTGCCGGCCCACCGCCATGTCTGTGTAGCCAATCACCCGGACCACCACCGACGACGGGATCCTGCGTCCTGCGGACCCAATTTTGGACACGATCCCTTCCATGGGCCTTGGTGCCGTTGCCCGGACTGACCAGCCGCTTCTGGTTTGTTGACCCAAGGCCTGGCCCTGGGACATCGGACAACACCCACAGGCCTCATCTCACGTCTCTCTGCGCTCCTCTGGCCATCCCGGGGCTCTAGTCTCTACGGATGCCATGCATGGGGACTATCAATGATTCAATGAGCCGTCTGAGATGTCACTCTCGGAGAGAGACATACGAAAAGAGGCAAACCCTGCCGTGCTTATCCTCTATAGCCCATCTTCCAGCGTTCAAGCATCAGCCTGTCGTGTTCCCGAATTCCGAGTCTCATCTCCTCGGCTCCTAAGCAAGCTCAACTTCTCCTCTCTACGGATAGGTACTGTGGTACGGATAGACTCTCTCACAACTCTGACAGTTTGATCAGGAGAATGCAATTCCCCCAAGGCAAGGTAAGGAAGGCTCCCATGGCCACTTCGCCCCCTTGGCTTGTTCGACTTGCAGCCTTGCTAGCTTTGGTAGCGGTTATTAGCACTAGAAAAAAAGCAAAAGGAAAGCCGAGCAAAGCGCACAGAGCAACGAGTCTGGCCCCCCATGTCCTCGCTCGCGCACCCACTGGCCACCCACACACCCTTCTCTTTGGCCGCGTCGACGACCAACGGGGACCACGGGGGGGAGGGATGGGGGCCATCGGGACGGGACCTTACAGGCACAGGCATACCAGGCACAGGAAACGCCGTGTCGCCCAACGCTCGCAAAATTTCCGCCAGCCCACACGCCCAGCGGCGCTTGTGCTGGTTGTCCACACAGTCCTGCTGGAGACGGGGCGCTGGGGGGCGGTAGGAGGAGTCAGGACTGAGGACTGTGTCGTGGTTGTTCGGCCGAGTCGTGAAAAGGAGAAATACCTCGCCTGCCCCCTCCCACACGCCTTACACTCTCGCTTCTGTTTCCTCACCGTTTACCGCTGCGTCCAGTGCCCACACTCTCTTGCAACTGCTCTTCGTCATCGTGCCTTTTTGCTGCATATTACTCTCATTCAGATTTATCAATATCGACGAGACAATCCCGTCATTCTCTTGACATTGCATTCATTAAAGGCAGACGCCTTGCACACGCACACACACAACTCAGGCCGGTGGAAACTCGTCGGCTTTGGTCATACATAGACTTATACCGATTCACAAAGCACCCATATCTCATCCAACCAACATCAATCAAAATGCGTTTCACCAGCATCTTCGCTCTCCTGGCCGCTTCGGTCGCCGTCGCTCAGTCCTCGGATGAGCTTACCACGACCATGACCGCCACCACCACCAAGACGGTTACCATCACCAAGTGCAACCCGACCAACACGGCTTGCCCCTTGTACACGCCGACTTCGTCTGTTGCGCCTACCATCAACTCGACGACCTCCACTCCCACTTCCACCTCCACCTCGTCGTCTTCCTCTTCGTCCTCGTCGTCCTCGTCGTCCCACTTCTACCCGGCTGCCAACTCCACCAGCTTTGCTGGCCCGACCGCCTCGGCTCCTTGGACCAAGTCTACCGTCCTTCCCATCAAGACCTCTGCCGACTCTTCTGCTCCCACCTCTGCAGGCAGCGCTGTTCCTTCCGCACCTGCGAGCGCCGGCTCTAGCCTCTTCGTCCAGAGCGGTCTCATGGCTGCCGTTGTCGGTCTTGCTGCTCTCGCACTGAACTAGACGGCTTACCTGGCCGTCAGCGCGCAACTCACAATGCGCAACGCTTAGTCACTTAATACATTAATTCGATTCACGACTGATATCACTATTATTCTCCGGGGATAGGCTGATTGGAGACCTTTTATTTTATCAACCACTTTGGGTTTTTTTGGAAAGCGGATTGGAGCCTCGGCTACCGGGTGGCCTTACACTTCTGGCCATACTTATTGTTTGGGCTGTCGGATGAGTTGGAGGAGTTTATACCTACTGGGACATGATTGCAGACCTACCCGACAGATGATGCACATACTCATACTCTATTTTCTGAATGAGACGAACCTGAGATGACCTCACATTTTGCCCCTCATAGGCTCTGGAATGCAGTGACTTTGATAAAATGACGCACCATCGGGCCGTTTCAATGTGAGATGTTTGCAAAGGCATTTGCCTGACTCACCGTATGTGTATCCAAGCACGACAACTCGAGGGTCTCAACATACTCTACTTATGACCCACCTCGCAGCTTTTTCCCGTCTACTGAGGCATATCTAGAGCATGCTGAGCCCAATTTGAACGCTGTCCGGGCAGCCGGGAACTGTCTTCTCGAGCAGGAAGCAAGTGGTTCTTGACTTGCGCTTGCAGGGGTCATACTTGACAGAGTGAGCATCGAATGCTCTAGACTTTGAGGAGGTTTGACTTGCAGCAGAAGGAAGCATCTGAAATGGGTGGCTAAGACAGTACCATTGTCTAAGTCTCCAAGATGAAGCAAGGTCAGGCACTGCCGGCCGTTGGTCCTTTCTAATAGTAAGGTGGGCCAATGGCAAGCCTCCAGACGCCAGCGTTGGTACTCCGTCGGTACGGCAAGGCGTGGTGGCAGTCTCGTCGCGCTGATTTGCCCACGTGGTTGTGATTGCCTTACTAAAGGAACGGGCCGCTGTCTAGGTCGTCTATGGTCTGCCCGCCAACAAAGACTCTCGACGACTCCTCATCTTTGTCCGGATTTCCGCTAATTCCAGCTCTTCTCTTCCCAACCACTCTTACTTTGCACTCCATGCATTTCTTCGCTTCCACGTTGATCTCCGGTGGTACACGGATAATTGGGTCTGTCGATCATCGTTGTCCTAGACGGTAGACTTTAAGCTCACCAGCGTCTCCGACCTCCTCCGGTTCCCGACAGTTGTGTGCCAATCGAGTATCAACAGCGGCACGATCCCGGCGGCATGCATCCCTGCAGAGATCACATCGATTCTCCTCGTGCAGAACAAGTCAACCAACTTCTCCCCTTGATGGCAACCTATCCACTCGATGTGAGGAGTGAAGGATGACAATACTTGTAAGCCAATATATTAATGTATGCGGTGTAATGGTAGCGCAGAACTCGAGATTCCCCTTCCCTCCTTTTTTCAGCTACTCGCACCGCGCCGAATGCGAGACCCAAAATCCACCCTCCAAAGGCAAAGAACTCCCCAAACCTATCCAGCCGACTCCTGCCACGGTAGATGACGCTCGTGGCCGTATTTTCATGCACGAAATAGCCGCAGCTAGCTGCCGACATCCAGAAATATGTCGCATTGTGGTTGCGCCAAATCAACTTGAAACCAAATCCTCTTGCTTCGATAGCAATGCGGTCGAAATTCCAGCTCCATGCGCCACACATGCGACTCAAATTGTGGCGTGTTGCCCTTATAGGGCGTCTCGAGTTGAACTTGGACGGTAACAAGCCACTGTCCAATCACACGAGTCCGGTATAGCTGCTCCTCTAGCTTTCAACCCGAGCAATTGCCTTGCTCGCAGCTGTCGCATAGGGTTTTGTTCCACGGTACTATGTTATTGCAACCGCAGATACCAGACTTGTTGTGGGCGCAGACCTTGTCCGCCATGTCGTTTGCTTGCGGCTTGACATGGGACCGGGCAGGCGTCGTTGGCGTATCAATCATGATTCGGTACGCGATTTGAGTTTGCTGGGTCTTTCTTTCTCTTCGCAATTCTCTTCGCAAAACCTTGCCTGAAGTTGAGACGGTCTTGTCTGGCGCGGTTCAGCCGTTCGGATAGTGTTTGACGGCTCGGCCCGTCGAGAATGCTGTGACGGAGAAACTGGGGCTGCCAAGTTTCGACGACGGGAGTGCGCAATGCAACGAATGACGAGGAACTGACGGTAGGTTCTGGATTGCAACGCGACACGGGGGTCTCTTGAGGCTGAGCAGTTCCGGTTGCCAAAGAGCTATCTGCTGTCGACAAAGTTTTTCTCTCCTGTTGATCGTCGGCTCCATCGTCCTGAAGGAACAGGATGCATACGCTTATATATGTTTTGCATACGGCGGCACCACACACACTCTTTCCACACACACGCACTTCGTCTCCCTCTCGGTTTCTGGCGCGCGCACACACACACATAAGTTCACTTACATCTGACAGTCGACCCGCGTCTACATGCGGGCGACGAGACGCACAGGAGCCATGCAGGGTGGCACTGAACATACATCACTTGTGGCCAACATCTGGCTAGCTCCCACGCACTTGGGTCGCGGCATTTTACCAGTTCATCAGCACCATGGCAGTGTGCCGCTCTCCTGGGTTGAACTATGTTGCGCACCGTGCCGGTCCTTTGCAATGGTTATGCGCATCATCGCAGGATCCTTGGTTTGGCTCATGTATGTTTGCTGCGAACCTCCTGGTCGCGAGCCCCTCCCCGACAGGAGACTTACTACAGAACGACCCTGTCGGCCAGGATGAGGCAAAGCCAAACTTGGCGTAACGACCAGCAGCCTACGGCTTCAGGACCGAGACCTGACACCGAATCTTCAATTTTTGGATGGAGTCCTAGGAGATTCCTTTGTCTTCATGCCAGAGCCGCACTGTTAACACCCTCAACCGCCTCAAGACGTGGCTGTTGCTGTTCACTCTCAAAAGAGCCTTTGCTCGCACGCCTCAAGACAATCACCTGATCCTATTCATCTCAATACACGAGACCAAACAATGAGCTGCTCTGGCGCAATACCGTTGCGAAATTTTTCCAATGGAGGTGCATTAGTGGATCGCAGGAGGACGGAGTACCTGACCGAAAGCCCATTGACATTCCCACTCTATTGCGCAGCGTGGCTGCGTGGTGGAAACCCTTGCTCATGGTCCGACGTGATATGGCCGGGGCCTGGGGCAACGAACAGACTTCTTGCAGCTTTCCAATTCCAGTTCGTTTGTGTTAAACATTGGGCCGGGCCAGCCAGCTGAACCTCGACTTCTGCTCGAGTCGTCTCCTTTTCTGACGCGCAGTTCTGTTCATACACAATATCTTTCTCAATTTCTCGACAATGCTCTCCGCCATCATGTTCGCCAATTCTGCCGGCAAAGCGGCAGCGGAGAAAGCAGACAAGCTCTGGCACTGGCATGAATGATGAGGGACCAAGACTGCGTTGTGTACTCCGTATTTCCTACTTCTTCAAATGGCCGGTTGCCAGTGATTGACAGCATCGAGGGGACGGATGTGTTCTCCTCCATCCTCGAAATGACGACTTACAGCTAGGCGAGCCATACGAGGGCACGCGGTTTGAACGAGGTGAGTAAAGTCTGACAGTACGGAAAGCGGACTTTCTTCACTAGAACGGTGAACCCCGGGGGGTCCAGCACGAGATGGGAGGAAGAAGGGAGGGATGGGATGTTGTGCAGATGGGCCTCTTCTGCGAGTGCGACGGGCTTCGCCATGGAACACACGGCTATGTCAGGCACACTGGACGTTTGCGCGGCAGCAAAACGGTAAGCCCCCGGGTTTCTGGGGGTTAAGCAAAGGATATCCACTCTTTTACCCCCTTCAGACTTCCGGGTCTCCAGAGTTTGAAAAGGTTACTAACCCTCTTGAGGCTTTCCGACGTCGTGTTGAGGGAAAAGCAGGGGTGGTTGTAAGGTATAGGTAAGCTGTCACTTTTCAACTTTTTTCGAGGAGCGCCGAAGCCACCAGCACCAGCACCCCCAGTTTGAATTTCAGTGTGTGTCGAATGTGGATGGAACGTTGTGCTCGTGGTTGAAGAGAGAAAGAAATTTGCCGATTGCAACCACGTGCTGTCGTTGTTGCTGTTGCTGATGCTGCATGAACGACTTATCTATCCAAGTATACGGACGGGGAGCACACGATATGGGCATTAGGAGGGGCATACGTAAGAAACCCCATGGGCACACATGGCTTTTCCCGAATCCCAGTAAGCGAACGTTCAACGGTTGTCTCACGTCAAAGCGTTTTTTATTTTTCACAAACTGCCATGCAGCAGCGCAGCAGTCGGACCCCCACTTTGAGAACCATGTCGCTGGGATCCAATCTCTGAGGAGTACTCTTTCTCGACTGGACTCTGAGTTCCTGACTCCTGGCAGTTCCTGAACTGTATCGGGTGACAGGCCAGGGGGGTGGTGCTGTGGTGCTGTGCCCGCCCGAACTTGATGAACCTGCGGCTATGGGTTTGCGGCACAGCGCCCATTGGTTCTGTACGAAATATTTCTGGCATTTTCGTTATTCCGCTCTCCCCCCCCCCTTTTTTTTTCCCCCCTTTGTGTCACCCTGCTTCGGCGCGGGGTTCTGTTCAATTCTGTAGGGGGGACGTGGAGTTTTGTTGTTGTCGTGCCGCAGTATATCGGTGGACGATGGGTGGTATTGGTTGGGAGTTGTGTGCAGATAACGCTTCATTCTCGGTTAGATGTTTGCAGGTTGCTTACCATCCCGTGCGGGACGGGGATGAAGTCGTTTCTTTGTCTCCGACTTCCCGACTTTGGCAGCTGGTTGTGAGGTGAAGGTCGGAAAGCACACGAGTCCTCTATTTTGGACTGTGCCTTTGGGCAAAGGTTGACTGAGGCTTGGAAGTTGGGTATCTGCATGCCCTGATTAAGCTACTGAGTTTAATAGGGAAAATGGTGATGATGATACTCGGTTCTTATGTCCAAGCAAAGAAAAGTGGTGTTTCTGTCTTGAGATGTTGTTGATGTCTGCTGCGAACGTACTCAGACGCAACGCGTGGGTTTGCACCACGGCTGGCAAGGAGTAGAGTCCGGAAAGGAGAGACATAAGACCAACATACATGGGCTCTTATACTTGGTCTTGACTGTGATGGGGTGAGATGTGATATGATTCCGATGTGAAAACATAAGCAGAGATGTGATAGAATGCGGTAGAAAGACACACTTTCCGTCGCGCATTTGTGTGATTTTCCAATGTGTCTTTTCATCATGTATAAATCCATGTTACCGCTCCTTTGGTAAACAACTTGCCAACGTTGAGAGGAAGTATCTTTCACGGAGAGAGGCGTTTGGTATGCGGGTTCTTTTCCTTTTGTGCCTATGGTGGAGGATGGAGGAATTGGCTGGCCATTAGAGGGGATCCTTACCTCTCGTATAAAGCACCTGTTACTTGTTCTCTATGAATTCGATCTTGCGAGAGGCAGGGTAGAAAGAAACAGACCGGCGGACTTGTAGACGGACCAATGTTCCAAGAGGGACAAGTTTCCAAAGTTAGATGAGGGTTGAAAATGCCTCGTCTATTAGCCTAATAACTATTTGAGAAACGAAATTCGAAGTATCAAGTGACTTCATTTAACCAAAATAACTCCTGCCGATGATCTTGAAAACGGGCATAGCTTGAGGACGTGGTATCTTTCTTAGACGGGCGTGGTAATGTCTCTTTCTCGAACTTGAGTTCAAGGCAAGCGCGAAGAACTATATCCTACGATGGGCTTAAGCTAGGGATGAAACGATGGTGATGTGGTGTGTTCGACGACCTTCAGAGTCATTTGCCAAGTCGTGTCACTAAATCTCCCGGGTACCCAACGGTTGCTGCTCGCGCATTCTGCCCGGGTCGGCTCTAGTCTTCATGCTTATAAAAGGGAGACCATCGGGCCTATAATATAAGTCAGTCCCGTAAGCACGAGATACACAGTCGCAAGTGTATACGGTGAAGTAGTAATAATTCATTAAGAAAGGTCCTCTGAGTCATCATAATATTGTTGGAAAATCCTTCGGAAAAGAAAAAAAACCACTCATATAATTCCTAGAGTAATCTTAGAGAGATCCAGGGAAATCCTCAATTAAAACCCATTGGCCAAGTCTCTATCGAGTCTACTGACGCCTAAGAAAGTACCGAGGTCCGCCAGGGTGATTTGGTTTTGTGCGGTCTCCGAGACAATTGGTCCCAAGTGCCTGGAGAACGCGAACTTGCACTTAAATTCGGCAAAGGACGGGTCGCCTCCAGCCTCGTTCGGTTTGTCCCTCTTCTAGAATATTGCCAGAGGAATATATGCCGGGACATGTCTAATACTACCCCCTGGCGAGAGATGGTTACACACACCTCCTTTTCATAAAAGAGAATTCTCTCTATAGGAATACAAGAGAGACGAACACCTCATTCTGAACCCCTCCAGACGACGTTTGACAGAGTCCCCCGATAAGCCCCACCAAAGACTTCCCGTAGGTGGATGACTGGGTGTCACTTCCATTAGGAAAGAAGATTTCGCATCTTTATATAGCGATCCGAACGTAGGAAGGCCTGTACTCAGTAGTGTCAGTCTCAGTCAACTTGCGCGAAACCTGAGAACGACTCCAAGCCATCAAGTCTCTGGCCCAGTCACAGGGTGCACCAGACATCCCAACACATCATATTGCAATTGTAAAGTCAGACGACTAGTGTTTGTACTTTTGTATTGATGCGGAAAATCAAGCTGGGGCAAAAACAACTCCTCCATCATGTGTACTCTCTCATCTATGTTCTGACAGAAACATCTCTTTCCCAGGAGAACAAGACAATGCCTACTGCCACTTGCCTCGTTCCCTGTTCTCCATTTGCCCCAAGCGTACGAACAGAAAGACCAAAACAATGTCTCGGAGCAAAAACCCGCAGTGAGAAATACAATTACAATACATTTGAGAACCCCAGAATGCCGCCCCGTAAACGCCTTAAAAGCCAAAAGCAAGGTTTGAACCGGCCGATTGCCGAGCCAGGTATAATATGCATAGAATGCTTGGGGAAGGGGGAGAGAGAGAATGCGCCCCAAGGGACCCGTTCATCATCATCGTCATCATCGCCGTGTCATGGACATCATGCCGGTCAAAGCCGGCTTCCACCCGTAAACACCATCCCAGTTTGCCGCAATCTCCGAGGTTACCAGAACCCAACGCCAATTCATGCAGAACAACATGGACCGGTCGTGATCATTATCATCATAAGTGGTTAGTAAGTAGTCGGTCTGAGTCCCGTGGTCCAAAAGAGAGACTCAAGAACGAGGGCCAGGCTGGATGCCTCTGCGTGACATCTAGGCACCAGAGACCTTGCGGGCCGTCGACGCCGCCGTGGCTGACGTTGCGGAGGTACCCACACTGCCAACACGGCCGCTCGTCTTGCGGACTCCATCCTTGGACCTCGGTGACTCGCCCGACCGCTTACTGCCACGAACTTTGGTGAGAATACCAGATGCGCTGCTGACTCTATCCACTTGCTTGACGCGTGATGTTCCGAGATTCTCAACGTCATTGCTGGCATCATTGTCGATGTACGTCTGGTATACAGCGGCAGCCGAGTGACTAACTGAGCGCTTTTCACTGCGACCGGGCGATGCCGAAGGTTTCCGTTGCGAGCGCATGCGAAGGTGAATTTCTTCATCCGACTCGGCGCTGTGAGAATGCTTGTGGACCGTAATGGTCTCGGCGTCTTGGTGGATGCCCGTTTCTTCCTCGACTGTTGCAGTGTATGAAGTTGACCTTTGGTATGGGTGGTGGCGATCTGCCCTGTTGGTCTTCCTCGGCTGGCCAGGTGTCGGTGCCGGGAGGTAGTCTTCCTGAACCCCAATGTTATTGCGGTCATGGTCGACTTCGCTCAGCGGCGTCCGGTTCGAGGTGCTTCTGTGCGGGGGCGTGGATGCTTGGCCGGCACGAATCGACGTCTTCTGCATGGCACGGATCGGGGTGCTGGGAACAGCGGCGTTGGCGGCCATCTCCTTGCGGAGCTTGCGTTCGATGCGCTCTTCGATCCACCATTCACGGAAGATACCCTGGTTGATGTGAAGCCAGTGCTGCTGGGGACCGACGACCATACCCGGGCGCATGAAGCGCATAAAGGCAATGATCTCGTTGGCTGTGAAGCCGTGACGGTAGATGAGGTATGCACCAATGAGGCAGCCTGTCCTTCCGAGGCCGGCTTTGCAGTGGACGGCGATGCCCTTCTTCTTGACGGTGATGGTCTCGTGTGCCAGTCTGATGAATTTGCGAACAGTGGTGAGAGGCGGGCAGGTGCCGTCGTCGAAGATCATGTCGAGGTGGGAGATGCCCATTGACTCGAAGAAAGACGGGGAGTACAGAGGCGAGTTGAGACGGACAACGAGGCCAACGTTTCTCTCGGTGAAGTGCTTCAGAACGTTCTTAAAGGGCTGGGGGAGCGTGTTGTTGGCATCGAGCTGGCCGAGCGACTTGGGAAGCGCGTCAAACTCCTCAGTGCCTTCGAGGAATTTGGCAACGGGTGTGTGTTGGGGCGAGGCAAAGGCCAGGAAGTGTGGCGTGATCCAGTTGAAATCTCCGTGCTCCACTCTCTCGAACTTCTCATACTCGTCAAGGTCAAAGTTGTCGAGAGCGCAGCAGCCCTCCTCCTTGGCCTTCCAAACGCCGTAGACAACATCTTGAACGGTGATACCGTAGTCGGCCTGGGAGTATCCAGCGTCGCGGAAGGGCATCAGAGGTGGGTCGACTTGAGCGATGGGGGCCAGGGCCAGGTGCGGGGGCCAGTTCTGAATGAGGACCATGTAACAGGCGAGCATGCAAGCAGCGTTGGCGCGACCTTGTAGACTGTTAGCTAGCGGTTTCCATGACAACTTGCGATGCTGCGACTCACTTCTGGGGTCGGCTCTGCTCCAGAAAACGATTGGGCGATCCTTGTTCTCCTTGGCACCGAGGACGTCATGGAACTGCAGGGCGAAGCGGTACAGGTGGCCAATATGGAGCGGGCCAAAGTCGTGGTGGAAAGCATTGTACAGGAGGGTATCGTCGACGGTGAAGTAGTAAGGTGTTTGACGGGCGGCGGTCTGGACGGGTGTTGGGCCTTCGGCGGCTCTCTGTGATCGCTTTCTAGGTGAAGACTGGGCAGCTTCGCCGTAAGGGAAGATGGTCTCGGCCGTGGGCGGGTGGATGTAGGCGGCCAGGTACAGGCGGTCTGGAAGCCAAGTTAGAATTGAGACGGGGAAGAAGGCGCAAAAGAGGTAGGGATGAAGCTGGGGTAAGGCATAGTTGTAGCTGTCGCATGCTGCGCTCACGTCGGCTTGCGACGAGCGAGGCGACCGAGAAAGCGCAGGATAATGATGCGACATGATTGCGATGTTGGGGGCGGGCAAAATGCACGATTTGGAGTTGGAAGGGCACGCGCGAAAACTCACCCGGGATATACTCAATGACCTGGCCCATGTTGGCACTCTTGGATGAAGGCGCCATTGGGACTGGCGAGTCTCTGTTTCCTCTCTGAAGCTATTCTCCGGTTAAAGTTGGGAGGAGGCAGTTGCTCTCGGCGCCGGAATTCAAGACGCAACTTGGAGGAGGCTGGAGGCTGGAGGGGGGTCGAAATGATCAAGGCAGGTGCCGAGATTATCCAGAGGCGAGGCTACTCCTTTGTATGCAAAGTAATGCGCGCGCAAGGGAACTCGAGAAGGCGGTCCCTGGGGAAAGTGTCGTGCAGCAAACGGGTGCGGGATTGTGAGCTGGGTTGAGGCAGGAATGTTGAAATGGCTGGTCTGAAACAATAACAACAACAAGCAGCTACCGTACACCTTTTTGGTCTTGATGTTTTTTTTTTTTTCGGGGTCTGGGAAGTAGACCAGAAAAGCTGCGACGCCCTTGCGGAGAAAAGAGAAGGAAGCGCAAGAAAACGGCAACCCGACTCAAGGGAGATGTGATGCTTCAAGGGCGGGCAAGACAATTGTCGGAGTCTATTGGGAGGATGAGGTAAAAGGAAGGTATTGCGAAAGCGCAAAGGAGACCGAGTGACGGTGTTTTTGTATGGTTTGCTGTGTGTTTTGCTCCAAGCGGTCAATATGGGGCCGGCCCAAAACAGCAAGGGTCGGTTGTTGTTCCCTTAGCCTTCTGTGCAGTGTGGCCCCCCCTCAAGTGGCCCCCCTGCACCACAGCGACCACACTGCTGTGGTGTGTTCTGGCCCTGCTCATCCAGTGTTGTGCTGGCTGCCGGGCTGCCAGGTTCGTTGTCACGACAACCTGCCAGGGGAAGCACTGACCAAGTGCGCCTCCTGACGGATGGATCGAACCGTCCTATTGGCTCACAACGCCTGAGGCAAACGCACCCGCCTCAGATCCCGCTTGGCTTACCACCAACTTACTCCGTCACTATGCACATAGATACCTACCTAACTTGCCAAGGTACCGTGGAAACTAATCCCTTTGCAGCATCTGACGGCTGTTGACCATTGCTTGCGCCCCTCTCCAGGTTCTATCGGATTATTCCAACAATAACAAACCAAGGCACAGATAACCGTCTCCGCATGAACTGGTTCTAGGCTTTCTAGGTTGCTTATCGGGCGGCACTGCATCAAACAACATGTGCTGCTGCGCCAGGGCAACCCCACGTTGCGCATCTCCTCCCTCTGCTGTGGACTTTTGAACTGTGGACTAGGTACCTACCTTACCGTCTACGAATACGGATGGGTACGGAGTATGGAACAACACACATCATCCCCAATGGAACCAATAGAGCATGTGCAAGTCAAAGAGGTCACCCAGTCACCTTGGGGACGGCCCGAGAGCCCTGTGCGTGTGCGTTGGCTACATTGCTTGATTCTGTCGTGTGTCACATTCGGTCCTAGACTGATGCCGCCATGGAAACAAGCCCGTGGAATGGCGGGGCACCCTTACTCCGTACACAGATCTTTTTTCTCGGTCCCTCCAAGGTTTGTGCTCACCTCATGTTTCCGTCCCGCTGTCCCGCTCATTGGTTTCTTCAAGGCAAGGTACGTTACTTTCCAAGCAAAGTGTTTGCCGGCCGGACAGGAATTTCTTGCGCCGCCAATGACGACTTTGTCTTCTCTTTTTGCTCCTTCTCAAGTTCCTTGTCCGAAACATCTCCATCCCTCCCCCACAGAGCCGCTGCAACAGCGCAACAGCGACGGGGCTTTCCCATTCCTGTCCACCTACGTTACTTACCTAAGATAGTGTACCAACGACTATCCATACCTATCTCTATCTCGATTGCACCCCTCCCCCTCCCCCTCCCCCTCCCCCTCCACATCCCACCAAGCGCAAAACGCTGCCGGCGCCCAAAATCTCCAACCATGGCCGTCCACAACACCATTGACCAAGAGTTCCCCTGCTCACTGTAAGTTATCGCCATACCCAGATCCCACATGGACCCCTTTCTTCTCATATCGTATCGTATCATTTCCAAAGATGAAGAAAAAAAAAAGCTGAGACATCGAAACGAATAGAACAATCAGCGTCCCCTTCCCGACCCCGCGCCTAGCAATAGTCGCACACAAAGCCCTCGACGTCGACCAAGAACTCTCTCCTCTCGTCCGCCGCACCTTCTCCATCGATCCCGACTCACCGAGCACCGCCGACGCCGACGCCGATGCTGCCTCCGTCCTTCGCGTACACTACAAAGCCACCACGAACCGCATGCTTCGCGTGGCCGTCAATGGTCTCATGGAGAGCCTGAACCTCGTCGTCGAGGTTATGGAGGAGCTGGATGTTGATATTTTGGAACGTAATTGGATCTGTTCGCAATAAGGGAATCATAAACGAAGGAGAGGCAGAGACGCTGCAAGGAGGCTGAAAACGCCTCTACGAATTGCCACTCGAAATATGGAGAACCAAAAGGAGCAAAAAAGCATAAAGCCACCATTGAGAATCTGGAAAGAGAGCGCGAGAGAGCGAGAGCGCAGTCGCACGCGACGGGAAGAGGAGACGGAAAATGATGCATCATGACTTCATATTTTTTACATTTTTTGTGATACCCTAGAATATACAGCCACACGATATGTGACATGATCACAATGTGCCAATGCTCTCTCTGTCAAGCTACAGTCTAGATTTTGCTTCTAGATTCTCCTGAACCGAATACCTTGGCATTGTGCCAGTGATGACCCCTGAATGTGGCCAGATACAACAGAAATGGCAGGGGAATATGCTTCCCAACAGCTTTACAACCCCAGATATTCCTCTATACCCCCCTTAATTACCTCGTATATCATGCTCGCCCGGTCTGTTGATCGATAGATTGCCTTTGTAGCTCTCAAGGCTCGTCATTAGATATGCGCCCTTCTAGCTCTCCACTGTCTCCTTCTGCTCGAGAGACTTTTCCTTGAGCTCCAACTTCTTCTCCGCTTCCTCGGCTCGCTTATTGGCATCAGCGACTTCCTGCTTGAGCTGCTTGATGTACTCAATGGCCAGCTCGACGGTGCTGGCCTTGCTGTTCGGCGCCCCTCCAGCCTTGGCCTCTCTCTCTCTCTCTTTCCTCTCTTCGCTTTCGCTCTTGGTCTCCTTTGGCGGCTGCGGCAATAACATCGCAATCTCCTGCAACGCCGAGTTGATTCGGTTCCGGCGGCCTTGTTCCGCAATCTTGTGGGACGTGCGTTTTGATGTGAGGTTGGTCGACAGTTCGCTGGGATACGTCACACCGGGTACGGTATTGCCCTCGAGGATGTTCTGATAGTTGGACTTTGACATTAATAGACGAGATGCCGTGTCTTCGGCGGACATGCCCGGTGTTCCAGGTAGAAGCGGCTTGATGCTAGGTGATATTCTCGGTCGCAATGCAGGCGATACATGTACCGAGCTCACGCTTCCCCTTTTGCTCTGACTTCCCCTGGCCAACAGCTTTGGCGTTTTCCGCGCCGAAGGGCCTGAAGATCCAGGAGCAAGGTTCGGGCTCGCGCTTGCTGACGCCGCAGCGGTAGGTTTGGCAAATACAGGCGAAGGGAGCGGCTGGAAGGACGAACCCGTCGCCGTGCCGGGGTCCAAAGGCGATTGAGTTGGCGTTGACGTGTCCAGTCTAGGGGGCTTCGTTTTTGGAGCAGAAAAGTTAACGGACTCGGGCAACTCGAACGATTCGATGTGGTCTGATGGGCCTAGATCGAGAGGATTTGATGAGGCGGAGTTGTTTGCGCTGGAAGCAGGCAGCTTCATAAGAGAGGCCGGGGTGGCGGGAGACGGCTTCCCTTGAACGTGAGCCGGAATAGCAGGGTGAGGCTGGGGTTGAGGTTGAGGCTGAATAAAGGGCGATTTGCTCGATTGCTTCTGTTGCGGAAGAGGCGGTGGGGGCATATCTGACAAGTTCTCAGGCGATACTGAGGCATTTTCAGACTCCTCGCTGCTCATCGGGGCTGGCAGAGCCGTCGAAGGAAGCATCTGATCCAAACCATCCTCGTTCACCTCCCGCATCTCTGAGAGAGCCTGTGATACCATCTTCGGCGTGGGTATTGCCTTTTTGCGCTGGGGTTTTGAAATTGGCGACTGTCGAACACTGGCTTTGGCCTTAGCTCTTGAGGTGTTGGTCTTGCGAGCCTTCTTTGATAAATCTACCACTGGCTGTTGCGTGGTTGTCGTTTCAATGTCCATCTCGGCTGGTGAGTTGTGGGTTGAGAGGGACGATCGACGACCATAAAGAAGTCCCTGGTCGCTTTGCGCGTGCAATGCCGGTGAGGTGAGAGGGCTGAAGTATGCGCCTGGAATTGTGAACCCGCCGGCTTCAATCTGGAAATGAGGATCCAAGGGTGTTACAGCTGGTGAGACCAAGGGAGTGAAAGCCATCTATCACGGTCAGCTTAAGAGCTTTGCTGCACTTTGAGGGGGATCAACTCTTACATCTTGCTGCTCCTTCATCCTTTGATACCTGCTGCCAAACATGGGCGTCTGGCTTTGGTCGGTTGAGTAGAATTGGTTGCTGGCGGGTGGCATTTCGAGACTCTGGGGTGTAGGGGGAACAGCATGTGTCTGGCTAGCGTAGTATGCGACCTGCTGTTCTTGTATCTGGCGATGTTGCTGCTGCATCCTTTGCTGCTGCAGGTACTGTATTTGCGCGTCGATTTCGGTGATGGCATCGGTTGACGTCGACGGGGGAATCATTTGAGTTTGGATAGCAGGGTGCGCTGCGGCTGTTGTCATGTTGATAAGCTGCGCTTGCATGGCAGAGGTGGTAGCTCCCATGAGCATGGATGTGTCGGTTCCTCCCATCTGAGTGTCGAGCTGCTCGCGACCAGGCTGGTGCATGATGCCGGTCCCATTGCTAGTCTGATAGTCGTTGAAATCGAAGGGCATCGCATCGCTGAGGTTCCCCATTCCACCCAAGTCCAAGAATTGCTGAAACTCCTCATCGTGATTTGGCGCCAAGGCCGGGTCCTGGGGGTTCCAAGAGGCGGCGTCCATCATGGCTATACTGAAGGTTGCGGCTCCGGGTCGGAGAATTTCAAAGCCCGAGTTGCAAATAACGCTGTCGTGGGAACACCGTCGGATCTTGTGCGCCTTCCTTTTTGCAGGATCCGTTTCGCAAAATCCAGATCAATGACCTCGATTGGTGTGGTCGTAGGTCGATAACGACAGTCGTTGGAGTATGTCGGGGCGAGGTAGGTTGCGCATAAGGCAGTGTATGGAACGTCAAGACACGGCTTGCCGTGGGGTTCTGTTCGAGGTGCGTGGGGAACACGAGATGAAAATGTGCCGGGCGCAAAGTGTAGAGCGCAGTGCCTCGCGCCGAATGAATTCGGTGGGGGACTTCACTCTTTCGATGCCAAGAAAAAGTCGGGTTTGGATAACCTGCAATGTAGTGGTTGGTGGACGAGGTTGAGAAATGGTTTCGGAAACAGGAAAACCTGTCTCTCGTGGTGGAGAGAGAGAGAGGCTGGAGAAGACGAGCCGACGGAGCTGAGGGACTGAGATGAGAGGCAGCGAGCAGGTGTGGTGGGAATGGTGGGAATGGTGGGGGGGACACACCTAGAGAAGGAGGTGGGACGGGGGTGCATTCAGATGGATGGACTGCTATTGGCAGCCGGTGAGTGGTTGACGAGCCCGTGGACACAATTTTTTTTTGCGTAGTGTAGACTGGCGGACCCAAGCTTTGGGGCCTCGATAATCGAATGCTTCCTTGCCCAGGACATGGATGACAAGTGAACTGGCCCGTGCCCGGTGCATATATGCTTCCAAGGACTCCCCAGTACAGGGATTTAATTGTGTGGTTGTTGTTGAGCCATCCGTAGCTGCACTAGGTTTCTGTAAATTGGTCGAACCGACCGACACGCGGTTAAATTGGGAAACCGAAAAATACACAGTACGATAAATGTTACTCGGTACCCAAAGACCCTATCCGAACCATCTTGCCGACGGCAACATGTCATGTTGGCGGGTATATTAAGGTACCAGCAGCGACTCCCGATAGCATCTTCAGACCTCGGATCATCAGCAGGGTGGATGAGGTCACCAGACAAATTCGAGCACCGTTCCTGGCGATCCTCACTCCTATGAAAACCCAACATGGCAGCAAGGTAAGGTATCTTTGCGTTGAAGTCACAGCTGACGGTTATTCGGCGAAACAATTGCCTAACACAGTTCCTTGTCCGATCGATCACTCACTATCCGGGAATATCAGCCTTCGCTCCAAGCACTGTCCGAACCCTCGGGCGATGCCCAGTGTGAACTGTGAAGTGAGCAAGCCTTTCCTTGCCTCTAGGTAGACAATTCCATACCTCCGGAGACAACACCACGAGGTAATTAGGCTACTCTCTGTATGTACGCATCTTGACCAACTTCTACTTGCCTGCCACTGCTTCAGGGGTCTCTCGTCTGTGCTCAACCTGACCCTGTCCACCCTTCTCCACGAGACAAGAAACCTCCTCTTTTCTCTCAAGTTTCAACTGACAACAGTGGAGGTATTACACTATTTCCAGATGGCCCCTCTCGGACTCGGAATGATTGTCGGGGAAACCGCGACGTGTAATGGCTGGTATTTCTCCCCGACCATGGCACTCACCCAGCCATCGTCCCACGACTTCCCAGTCACCACACTGGAGAGTTCAATAATTAAGACGGGACGAGGGGAGAAATTTTCTCACCCGATGTCTTTTTACGGATTGGCGCTCTGATCACACCGAGGCCTTGAGCGAGCAAGATTAACTTAAAGTGGATCCGGCCCCCCATCGGCAACGGCGCCGCCGCGCCACGCAAGTTCGTCGGAAGCGAGCTCGAGCTTTAACCGCTCCAAGCCCCAAGACTCTCACTGTTGCTTCCATTCTGAGGAAAACCTTGGGATGCCAGATGCCAGGTGAGGCATGGTAAGCTTCCTAGCCGCCTAGAAGAGTCAAGAGACATCCCGCAGCCAAGCCCATCACGGCAGACGTCAAAACTGACAGCCCCTAGGCAGAGTGGCTCTCTCTAGCCATCAGGCGGAGTCATGTTCCCACACTACGAGTCCGTGAGCTTGTCAATTCGGGGACCCATCTCGGATCTCCGACTTCGATCCTGACAGGCGCTGCAGTGCGGTTATTTAATATCCAGCCCGGAATCGGTGCTGCACTGCCTGCAAGTCATGAGCGATTACGGGGACCAGAAAACGGGGGCAGACGAAGATTGCAACCTGTCGCCTTTGGTTTAATTTGGATGACCGGTAGTTGGGTACTGTGGACTGACGTTGGGCCCAGGTTGCAGTCGTATTGGTCTCTCAGAGTCCAGGGTCCATTGGGATTCATGAAGAAGAACCTTTTCATCAAGGGATGTCCTTACCGTTGGTTTGGGCCCTCACACGAGCTGCTCACGTTACCGAGTGACGGCTAGAGTTGCTCCCTCTCTGCGATTGCCCGCCCCTCTACGAACGAATACCTAGGCAAGCATCCGTATTCACCGTGAGGTGTGATAGGAAACGGTGTTTGGCCTTTCTATCCCAATGACCTCACTCATGGTTCTCTGGCAGGCGTCACGGTCTACGTCTAGATTGATCTCTCTGCCTTAGACTGCGTTGGTTAAGCGGTGCAGTAGCCTTCTCACTAACCACGAGCATAACCTCGAGTATGAAGTACTCTGTAGAAGTCGTTAGGTAACGGAAGTTCTAGAACACCACCGTTAATGTGCCTCCTGAGCTCCTCGTGGGGGTTGAAGGGCGGGGGCCGAAGGTGCAGATTCCCGGCTGCAACCATGATTATGTCAGCTACCTCACTGCCTCGCTTCACTTTTGCTTAGCTAAGCTAGAGGTGCACCGCCATTTTGTGGCTGGTGTCGTGAGTGAGATGTCCCGAGCTTAGGTTTGGTGGCTGAAAATCACGTGAACGTCCTCCTGACTTACCAATGTCGCAAAAGTGTCGCACAGGTACCAAACCTCATGAATACATGGCTCGAACCATTGCAGGCGCTGGATCATCCTTGCCTTTCGTACCAGACATGGCTAGAAACCTCCGGCTGGTAAGGAAGGCCTCTCGGAAGCGTTCATGCGGGAACCCAGCTCGCACAATATTGAGGTTTTTGTTACGGCTCCAAAGGCCAGATGTAGCGAGTAAGGGCAGCCTAATGGCACGATAGAAAATTAAGGAGTATCGGTAAATTTCCTTCAGAGATATATTCGTTAGCGAAACGATATCCAAAGAAGCCTTCATTGTTCAAAACTCGATAAATTCGGCGAGGAGCTGCTCATACCTAATGTGATTCGTGAAGCACGAAAAGGTAGCTTGCTACCTACCTTAGCTGCTGCCCGCCGACCCGCTACCTACTTAAGCGGGCTTAACGCTGAATGGTCGACGGGAAGCAAGCATTCGAGTGGGTGCTCGCTCGGTCTCACCCAAACGGCAAACCAAAACACTCCTTTCCCCTCAGCTCCCGCCCCCTCCCCCTCCACTTCACCTTGTCCTTCCCGTTCTCCAATTGTTCGGCGGCTTGCTTACCTTAGCTCTGTCCCATCACGTCTCTGGGCTCCTGGAGCTACCTTGCAGTGCCTTGTTACCACGGCACAAGCTCAACCATCTAAACCCGAAACCCAAAAACACCATACCTACACCAATACACCCGCCCGGGCCCAGGTATATAATCCGATCTCCCAAGATCCTGTCACAATCCATCTTCGACACCTGTCATCCCACGGTTGATTGAATCCTCAAATACCCCAACCATGAATTACGGTCATCAGCATCCTAGTGGCGGCTACCACCCCATGCCGCCTGGCCATCCCGCGAACCAGATGCCACAGCTTCCTCCCATGGGATATCCAGCACCAGCGCCTTTGCCGTCTAACATGCCGCCCAATATGCCGCCTAACGGTATGCCCATGCAACATCAACATCACCAGCCGCCTCCGCCCCCTCCAGCCCAGGCCCCTGTGCCAGCCTCCATTTCAAAAACGGATGATTTGGGCAGGAAATATGAGTACGTCGCGCAACTTCTGCAAGGCAGGAAAACATGTCCGCTGACAATGCGATTGCTAGGCTCGTCGTTGTGCAGCAGCCCCAGCGAGCGCGAATGTGCGGGTTTGGTGACAAGGTACGCTCAAGTTTGCCGGTTCTGCGACTCGCAACTCCCACTAACAATTGCCCCCAGGATCGCCGGCCGATTACCCCTCCTCCGTGTATCAAAGTCGTCGTGCGAGATGCGAAAACTGGCCAAGAGATAAACCCAAAGTACGTGCGGCGCATGAATCACAGCATCATTGATTTGCTGTACTAACTGTGGCGGATAGTGATATCGATTCTGCCCACTACATCATCCAGGTTGACTTGTGGTCAGAAGATGGCACCCAAGAGGTTAACCTCGTCCGTCACTCATCCAGCACGGCTTCGATATCGACAACACAGCCCTACTCGTACACGGCGCTGCGCGAGGATCCCATGAACCCGCCACCAGCGCAGCCTTACCAAGATATGCAGCCTTATGGATCAGCGCCCATGGGATACGGGCAACAGCCGCCGCCACCCCAGCCCCAGCAGCATATGATGCCAGGTTACGGCATGGCAGCTGGATCCAACTATCCCCGTCAGTCTCCCGGCTATGTGACTGCTCCATTGTTATAACGTACTGACTCGTGGCGTAGAATACCAATCAACTAATTCTCGGTTTGCGCCGGCAACCCAGTACTACCCGCAACACGCCAATCCAGGCCCTGTGCCCTCGCAGGCGGATATGGCTTACGGCCACCGGCAGTCGCTATCCATGGCGGCGAGCCAGCCCCAAGGAATGTTTACGAGAAACATCATTGGAAGCGTCAGTTCCAGTGCCTTCCGCCTGAACGACGTGGACGATCAAGTCGGTGTCTGGTTCATCATGCAAGATCTGAGCGTGAGAACCGAAGGTCACTTCAGGTAATTTTCTTTCCACGATCCGATATATCAGTAGCATTACTAATTCGTTCCTCCCAAGATTACGCTTCTCATTTGTCAACATCGCGAAGCCCCCAGGCGTGACCAACCCGAACGGATCGATGGTGAATCAGCACAAGGCCCCAATTCTCGCTGCGACTTTCAGCGACGCTTTCCAGGTCTACTCGGCCAAGAAGTTCCCCGGCGTCTGCGAGAGCACTCCCCTCAGCAAGTGTTTCGCAACGCAGGGCATCAAGATCCCCATCAGAAAGGAGGGTGCCGCCGATGGGAAGAAGGGTGGTGACGATGACGACGAGGCCTACCAGTAGCGCAAGTGGGACAAGCGAACCGAACCCGCGGATTGGCGCAACCAACATTACTAGTAATTCGCCTGGAGTTTAGGAGATGCACCATCACAGCATAAGGATACAGTACGCAGAAAAGGGAGTCTTGGGCGGCTACTGTGGTGTGATATTTCCCCCGGATAGTGGGAGTCTGCAGCAAGGCTTGCAACTTGTATTAATTCTCAATTGGATTATGTGCCTTTAGCGCCATCTTTGAAAAGTCAAAATAGTCAAAACGAAACAGACGTGACATCGACGTGCCTGCATGAGATCGTAAATCATCGTACCGAGGAAGTTGGAACAAACCCATGAGAGCACACCTCAGCAAAAACCGTTCTACCAAGCTACTGTAAGGGACCCCCTGCAAGATACAGGATCAGTATCAGTTGGGAAGTCCGGTCCGTCAAGCCAAGATCTCCGCCCACATTCCGATTCGGCCGGGTAACGCTCGCTAGCTTCCGCGTCTTTTTTTCTAGGGTGGGGTCGTCCTAAGAGAGAACGGATAACTTTGGAGGGGGAAAGGAGGACAGTAAGCAGGCGGAAAGCTTGTTATATTGGTAGATCGATTAGATGGCGGGAATCGAGTTGGGTGGAAAGGGGAAAAGGCAGAACGCATCCCGTCAACCATTCAGATGACCCTTTCGCAATTTATTGTAGAGACCTTTATTTAACTTATCCTCGCAGAGTTATACGGAGTAGAGTTATACGGAGTAGATGGCTTAAGAGCAAGACTGCCTATCCGGTTTCGCCTCCTAAGGCTACTTTAGCAGAATGATATTCACAGGGTATACAAAGCACACAAAAAGGACGCGTCTCACACAACACACATGGGTCCATTCAGGCTTCTTCTTCTCCTTTTGAAAATCCGACACATTGTCTCCCATTTGGATATTGAAATCCTACAAAAAAATTTGATGCCTGCAGTTCTGACTGCAAGGCAACTCCAACGCCGTAACACGCCCTGCCCTGCCATTCCCTTCCCATTGCGGGACTTCTCGACTGAACGACGCTCCAACGCTCCCAAAAGTTTTTTCATTGCTGATCCTCCCTTCTTCTGCTTCCTCTCAAGAGAAGCAAAGCCACTGTGGACATGATATCAGCTTCTGTATGATTCGCATTCCAGCCGTCAAAACCTCGTTGTGTCGCCTGTATCAAACGCCATCTCTCCTTTCCATCTCGAGCAAGAAAAAAGTAAAGACAAAAGGGAAAACAAGTCAGGGTGGAGAGAGAGGGGGATAAAAGTGTACATAGCAAGGGTTATGTCCGCCATTGATCCCCTTGAACCAATCCCTGACTTCACTATCAAGTGGAATCAAGTAGTGGGATAAGCCTCCTCCCTCTTTTCATCAGCAATAATACATGCCATGGGGATGGGTTCATCCCGGCTCAATATTGTTTTTGAGCGTTCAAGCCTTTGTCAACGCACACGTGCCTGACTGCACGCAGACATCAGCCTGACCATGGGTAAAGAGAATCAATAGTCTTGAGTGCTTTTGGTAACGCCAGCTGTGCGTGTGCGGAGGCTCTAAGAATCGGCCAGTTTTGCAAAGTGCTTGGACCAAATCCAACCGACTTGATCGTCAGGGTCATCTTGGTTTTTAGCAAGCCAGAGCTCGCCCTTCTCAGCAATAACATCAAAGATCTACTCAAAGGATTAGTCTGATGGCTCTGGACATACACACAATACGAGATAGAAGACATGTGCTTACCTCACCGGCTTGGTACGTAAGATACGGGTAGCCAGCCTCGTGCTTTGTTGTTTCAATGTTGAACTCGAAGAGTGATGCAGCCAGCCAAAGTATGTTGTATCCGTTTCCAGCTGGAGTGCGCTCACGCGATGATGCTCGTGATGATCTTTGGCCTTCTTCCACTCCATCTGGCATTGGTAATGCGGAATGGAACAGACCAGAGAAGCGTCTGGATTCATTGCCTGCATGCTGGGGCGGGTGTGCTGGGTTTGAGTCTCTTCTGCTGTTCGATGTCGACTCTGAGCTCTGTCTCGGTAGACCATTTGTTTCGTAACTTCGACCAGTGCCAGGCCGAGTGGCGGGCGGGGGAGCAATTGCACGTGGCACAGGTGATTGGTCACCTGTAACTGGCGAGGCAGACACTGAAGGTCGCTGAGCAGTTGCACCAGCGTAGTAGTCCCTATAGTAGAACTGGTGGGGACTAAGTGGTGTAGTGCTTGGTGACAGAGTGAACTGTCCACTATGGCGCTTGGCAAAATCGGGTGTCGGCAGCATCGGGGCATGGTCACCATTGACTGACAAGCCTCTGGCTCGTGGAGACGATATCTCAGCTGGCCGCGGGCGGTGCTTAGTCGTGACATCGTCGGTGCTTGCGGTAGTTGACTGTGACGTTCTGCCTCTGTATGCTGGGTTCAGGATCCCAATGTTGGCGAACAGTTCCTGCGCGTACTTGTAGTCTCGTTGGAAAGCAGAGACAATGTCGGGAACCTCTGGTGGCGGCCCCGTCTCTCCGGTGACCTTCTTGACCTTTTCCACCCAGATGGAATACCAGTTCGCCTGAATATTGACGAAGTTGCCGAGACAAATGTTTCCAATCCTCTCTGTCAAGGCGGACAACTGAGGCAACTCCTTCTTAAGGGTCTCGTTGAGGGCGTCGTACTGTTCCACCAACTCCTTAAGTCTGGCGTCTACTGTCTTTCCGCCTTTCTTGATTTGTTCTGCTCTCTCATAGTCAAGCCGTCTCTTTGCTCTCTTCTTCATTGCCAACGAGGGGTTACCATAAGCTTTGATCACATGTTCGAATGGCTCGATGACATGCTTGCGGACCTGCTGAAGCTACTTGGGTGTTAGTGTGTGAAGCCTGGCTTCTTGAACATATTACTCACATGATCTTCTAGGGCAATCTTTTCGATATCTCTCATGGAGACATTGAATTGCACCCATTTGCTCTCCAGCTCCGGATAGCTCCCAGGCTGAAGACGCATGACAAGCTCCATGGCAGACAAGTACTGCAAGAACTCATGCACATAGGCGCTGACTTGCCGAGTGTAGAATTCCACGTCTCTGAGCACAACTTGTAGCCGAAGGTAGTCGTCGCCAAATTTCTCGTGGAGCTTGGCGTATACGGCATCTTCAGGAATCTTTGAGCTTGCAGCCTGAAGCTTATCGACCCGCTTGCCAAACGCCCGAGCAAATCCGGCCTTCACATCGGATTCCTTCCTCTTCCGGCCAACAATCTGTCCGACGAGCTCGAAGTTCTTCTTCGTCTTGTTGATCTCGACAATTGCCAATTCCAGGGTTTCCTTGGCTGACAACAGCTCGGCTCGGTCCGGATGATCCTCGGGCGTGTGTCGCAGAAGCTCTTGGATGAGGTTAGGATACTTTGTAATTCGCTGCATGGGTTTGATGAGAAGAGAATCCAGATCCCACGCCGCAGTCAGGTCCTTGGCCACTTCATTACACTCATTGAGCCAGACCTTGACAGTGGGGTCTTGCTGGATCTGAATCAAGCGCTTGGCCGCGTGGTCGCTATTTCTGAGGAAGCCCTCATGCGCCAATCTCATCTGTTCAATATGCTTATTGAAGAGAGGACCCAGTGACGTGGCTTTGTCGTTATCGTCACCGAGTTCGGGCGCCACTTGATTCGTGGACGAGTTTCCAATCTGCTCCGAAGCAACCGAATCCTCCTTCGGCAAGGGGGAACGCCTGCCGTGAGGCACATAAACCGTGCAAACAGCTTCCTTAAGCTGAGCACAGAACATGGTATGGAAGGTAATGATCTCGTCGGTATTTCTGAAGATGAGCTTTATGGTTTTGTCATCCAGTCGTGGACAAGCTTCGGCGGTGCCCTTGTAAATCTCCTCCACGATATTCAAGTCCCTCACAAAGACCATCTCGGTGTCGACGAGTTCTCTGATCACGTTGCGTCGTTGAACTAGGCGGTGTTTCTCTTTCCCGGTCGGTCCGTCTTTCAGACTGGGTGTTGCTATCGACTCAACCGGAGTCTGGCCGCCCAGAGAATACTCTCTGGTTTCGATCGACATGTGGTCGATGGACTGGGTGGTGGAAACGGGGCGTGATACATCTTCGCTCTGACGCCGAGAAGAGCCCGCGAGGGTACTTCCAGGAAGTGTTTCGGCGTAGAAGCTGCTAGCTGCCGTTCGCCTGTCACGAACTCGTGTAGACGCAGGAACTGGCGGAGGCTCATGTTCTGGCCGTGGCAAGGTAGGATCCGCCTTCCGGTGCGGGAAGTGACTCTCATCGATATAAGGAACCGAAAATCCATCTCCAGTATCCAACTCCGGCAGCTGGTGAATGGTCGCACGGTTGGACGGCTGAGCGGCTGCTGTATCTGATGGCGCAAAGTCAGGGCTGTAATGTTCACTCTGTCGGGCAGACGAGTCTCTGCTAGAGCCCGATCCAAACGTCGACTCCGATGCATAGGGCGGCTTGGGGATCGGAAGAACATCGTCAAAGGCCGAAATCCTGTGGTGGATGGGTTCATCGCTGTCGACCGAAAAATCAGTCCATGCGGATTGTTGGCTGGTCCGGTTCACAGTCGCATGCATCGAGGGAACCATCAGGCTGCGAGATGTGTCGGGAGTTTGCTGGCTTTCGAGGCTCGTTTTATGAGGGTCATCTCGCGGATCAGAGGACTCGCAAGTAGATGCTCGTTGAGACGAATCATTGTCCTTGTGGTGCTCACCGTAGAAGTCTTCAGGCTTCTCAAGGGTGTCGCTCGCTGATCCCAAATCCTTCTCCGCATTGTGGTGGAAGTAAGACACACCACACACGGACCCATCCATATCGCCCATTTGACTCTGATCGTCAAAGTCATCATACGACTCCATTCTTGGAAACGGAATTGTTTCCTGTCTAGGAGAATCATATTCAGATTCCCGCCTGAGAATCTTGACCGTTGTTTCGTACGGTGGGCTCGAGAATGGAATCGGCTCGTACTCAGACATCGGCCGCGAGTTGGCGAATGCACCAGGAACGGTCGGTTCAGGCGATTGATGGGAAGATGTTGGTTCCAACGAGATCTTGATTGAAACCGCATCGTCCCCTGCGGACTCATCCTCCTCGAACGGGGATTGGTATTCCGCCTTTTCTGGTGTCGGCAGTCGTGGCTCTTCCTCGGGTTCAGCCTTCTTCTCCAGCGCTGGCGACGGGGGCTGCTCTTTGGCTTCGGTGGTCTCGGCCTCCAATTCTACCTGAATTTCCTCGGGCTCGTTCTTTTCGGGGGTTGGCGCACGCCGCACTTCTTCCAGTTCAGCCTGCTCGTGGTTACCGTCCGCTTGAACAATCGTCAGTCCAAGCCCAGTAGGAGGTTGCGCGGGTTCTAGCTGCACAGGTGGAAGTTCCTGTGGCTCATTGTCAAACTCGGTAGTCTCCGAAGTGGCCGAGATTGCGGATTGCGGGATTTCTTCTTCTCTCTCGAAAGGAGGGCTCAAGGCCGGGAAACTGCCCGGAATGCCCAGCGTAGGGGAGTCTGCAGCTTGAGGCTGTGGCGGAGAGAGGGAAACGATGGGTGGCAATATCGTCGAAACCGTCAGTGGCTGAGGTGACTGTGCAGACGATGGAGGCTGCGCCGACGGTTCCGGTTCTCCAGAAGGTTCCTCCACCGGCTTCTCGAAGGTTTCGCTATGATCCACTGGAGGCGATTCGGCTTCAATCGGCGGGACTGGCGGAATATCTTCCTCCTCAGCAGCAGCAGATTCTTCGTCCTTCTTGCGTTTCGCGGCTGCCTGTTTTGCATCCCGCACCTGGCTATCGCGTATAGACTTAGTATACGCCAGCCTGATGTGTTCGCGTCGTTGCTCAAAGTCAATAGGGCCCACCGAGATCTTCCGTCTTCGGGTCGTTGTTCCATCGGGCTTCAAGGACTGCTTCGGCGCAGGCTTGTGCGGCGACTTGGACCTGTCAACGGCTTTCAAGCGCGAACTTGCCGTGGTGGCTGTCGATACAGACTGTCGGGGTCGAGAACTGCGCAATGGAGGAGATAGCTTCGGAGGTGGTGCTGCCACATATGCAGTGAGGCGGGTATTGTTATTCGGGGTCACGAGTCCTCGAGGCGCAGGTTTCCGTCCCGGTGTTGCTTGAGTAGGTGTTTTCGCTCGAGTAGGTGTCTTGGCACGATTGACAGGTGTAGTTGTCCGAGTTGTCTTACTTGCAGGCGCCGGGCGCTTGAAGGTCGACGGAGAATTGGCTCTAGAGCTTTCCCGCGTTGATGGCGGGCTGTTCGAATCGCTTGAGGTGGCCAACTTGCGTACAGAAACCGGAAGGCGCGATGTGGGCGAGGCTGCTCGTTCAACCTGCTCGACCTCTGCCATCGGCCGTGATGCAAGAGCCTTTCTCACCAGGGGCGCTCCAGCCTTTGACGCGGCCACATCACTATGTGCCCGAACATGACCTCTAACATTGGGGGCCGAACGTCCTGCTGAAATACTGGGTTGTGTTGTTGCGGCTCGGTACCAATCGGTTGGGGAAGCCGGCTCGACGAGATCAGGGTCGGATTTCGTCCGTTGGTGGAGCTTAGCCACATGTATACTGGACTCTGAAGTCCGCCGCGGTCGTGAGCCCGAACCCTCGATTCCAAATCCCACGGCCGAGGTATCTCGCTGTTCTGGAAGGATTTCGCCAAAAAGTAGACCGGGAGCTCTCGGAGAAGAGGGCGGTAAGGAAGGTGATTTGTTGTGCTGCAAGTTTGTCATAGATTTGGAAGCATGTGCAATGCCCGTAGCTGAAGTCTTATTCCGCGGCTTGGCGATGCGACTGGCGAACGATTGCGAGTTGTTTGACAACTGATCCTCGGCGACATATTTCGTCCGTTGCGTTCTAGTGGCCGTTCCTCTGCTAGTGTCAGGTGTCAGTTCACGGTTCGTCGAGGCCCTCAGTGTAGAGTATGATGTTGACCCGCTTCCACTCGGTGTAGTTTTGTCGATATTTGTCGCAGCTCTGGTCGGTCGAATAGGGACGCCTCGCACAGGGATTCTGGGCATCGAAGGCGCTGGGGACGAGGTCTGCTGATCGAATCTCTTGGTCAAATCCTTGACGCTCGGCTTGCGATTTGTGTTTGTTCTCGGGGCGCCAATTGGAGGTTCGACAGGAGCAGAAGCAGATCGCTGCGAAGGGCGTAAGGGCGTACGACCTGCGGGAGCCGGCGGGTGCTTTGAATCTTTGCCATTGCCGCCGTTTGGCCGCATGGCCGGGTTCTCGCGAGTTCGAGATACGGAGGTCGCCATGTAGTCGTAATCTGAGGAAGGGGTTCGTCGATGATAATTTGACGACTGTACGCCTCGATGGCTTCGGTAGAAATCATCCGGGTTTACTGAATCGTGATCATGACCAGCGGCGGCGAAAGCCCCAGCCGTGTGGGCGGCAGAGGCATCCAAGTTCTCGAGAGTGAAGGCGTTCGCTGTGGGGCTGCTAGGGATGTAATGGCGATGGGATTGCTGAGAGGGTGTCTGGGATGAGCGGTGGTAACGATCGGAATCGGAGTCGAGGTCGAAGTCGGAGTCGTGATGGTCGTAGTGGGAATCGAAGTTTGGTTGACGATGAAGTTGGTGAGGGTACTGAGGAGGAGAAGCTAGAGGTTGCGGTTGGTGGTGTTGGAGACGGACCTGGCGTTGCACATTGAGCGCAGGTGCCAGGCGGTCCTCGTCTTCTGGACTGCCAGCTTCCATTGTGGCCTGAACATCAGTCAGGCGTGTCGGGTGGACTGGGTCGTCAAGAATTCCATAGACCCATGCAGGCTGTGTGGGATGTTTGGGTTGGGAAGCATTGATGTGTTGGCCTGCAAGCTGAGTGGGCAGCGACAGTTTGGAGAGGCGACGGGCAGTCCCTGGTTGGAGAGCGTTGGCAGTGTCCGGGGCCTATCGACAGCAAATCTTAATGCATGGATGGATGGCCGCCGCAGGAGCAGGCCGTGAGTGCAGTGCGACTTTTTGCTCTGTGGGGGTTTTATGGAGATTGGATAGTTTTGCTGGAGTCGAGACGAAGAGAGATCTGCAGGTGCTTTTTCCGCGATTGTGTTAATCTTGTCCCTTTTCCCGGGGGTTGTTTTGTGGTGAGGTGGTGAATCGGACGCAACGAGATGGGATGGCAAGAGCGAGGTTGGAATGGTGGGAAGGTAAAAGGCAAGGCCAAGGGCAACCAACGGGAAGGGTGAGGTCAAGATAGGTTAGTTGGTAGGTAATTAGGCAGGTGAGGTGAAGGTACCTAGGGAGAGGCAGAGAGGAGACGCAGGCGCACGCGTGCACGCACACTCACACTCACACTTGCACACACCACACAGATTGCCTTTTTTAGCGCACTGAGCAAGTGCGAAGCGGGAAGGGAAGAGGAGGATACCTTCTCCCTCTGCGCTAATACATATGTGTGAATGAGGAGGCAGATGCGGGGGGGGAAGAGAGGAGGAGAGGGGCCGGAGAGAGCTCTGTGTGTGTGTGTCTCCTACCTCGAGGTACCTTACTTAGGTAGGTAAGTAGTCTGGTGTATGTGTAGTGGGACGGAGAGAAGGAGCCGTCGTCTTCATTGGTAGGTATTAGCTCCTACCTCGAAAAAAGACACTCGTTGACGATGGGCAAGAGCCTACGAAGCTAGGAAATGGCACAGGGAAGGAACGAGGAGCAGAATTAGCGCAATGCCTTCCATTCTTTGCGAATGCACCACATCACCAAATTGCCAGGCAGGTGCAAGCAGGGTCGGCACGGCACGTAATCATCTGCACCTGCTTCTTTTGCAATAAGCGAGGCAGAAAAGTCTATGGTTATTGCAAATTTATCAGCTACCTGTGGGAAGGGGCGGACGAGCATCCGTAGTGTATGCGCGTTATGCAGTCGGGTCGTGGTCAACGGGATGAGCTGAGACGGCAAGTGGGGACCGTAGATGCGAAAGGTGAGGGTATCGTCCAATCGGTCAAGATGAATGCGGTTCGGTCAGAGTGGCAGCCGGGGCAAGATGGAGGGCAAACAGGATTGGACCATCGGACGTCGCGTGCAAGGTACGAAGAACGAACTGGGCGGCCAGCTTGGCAGCAACTCGTATGCCCATCGCTAGGGAGGGGAAAGTGTCCAGGACTCCAGGTGTTAATCGTACTAGAGAGGGAGACGGGAGAGAAAGTGAGTGGATGATGGCAGGTGCTAGATTCAGTTCGGTAGGTCTGTCCGGACACTCGGGAAAGAGGGAGCGAGACCTGGGCCAGGGTCCGGAAGGCGTAAGGGGGGTCGTCTCTGCACACAACTATGTATCACATAATCCGTGCATGTCTGCCTCTTGGATAGGACAGTCTCAGGAGCGCAAGCAATCGACAACAGTGTTCAACGAATATCAACGGTGTTGCTGGCATCGACACAGACGAAGTAAGTCGGTGGGATGGAGAGTGAGAGACAGAAAGACAAAATTGGCTGCAACGTCCATGCTAATGTGCTAATGTACTCCGTACATCCAGGTCAAACTTAAGGTACGGATACAAAGTACTTTTCGATCGAGTCACATCAGAACCACGGAGCAAAAAAAGACAAAAAGCATACATGTACAGACTACCTTACAGAGTTCCCGGCACCTGATTCAAACTGCGAGTTTATGTAAGGTACGGGGTACAGAAAACAAGACATCAATTTGCAAAATGTCCGTCTTTCCCTGTCAGCCTCTACTCGACTGTTTGGACCTTGGAAAACATGGCATGGGCATGGTTGCGTCTCCAGAGAGACCCAGAGAAACAAACACCAAACTCCACCGCGAGATTGATGAAGTTTGTATCTTGTCCAGAGCATCCGTCTTCGCTCCTCCATCTCGAATCGCTCACTCTGGCCGACAGGCAACAAAAACAAATAGCAATCTCGATTCGAACGATTCAGGATCTATCGTCTTGCGGGGGTAAATTCCTCTGCGATACGGCCCATATGCTCTTCTCCTTCCAAATAGGAAACGTTTTGTTCTTTCGCAGCACAAAGTTAAACCCTGGTGCGTCCCTTGGCCCTCGCTTCGTCCCGTCTTAGAATGGTCTCACAGCGTCTGAGTAAGAACACAAGACATTGGAGAAAGGGGAATGGACTTGGAGTGCATTGACGGTCCCCGTATCTAAGCCTTCCCACCCGCAAGGTACACAGAAACAGCCAAAGATGATGAGAGACAAGAAGCTTGGAATCCAATGCCAAGATCGTACGGCCACAACCAACGTCAGACGTCACCACCAATCGGTCAATACTTTGGGCGGTAACCGAAGCCAAAGAACGGCGGGGCCCGGCTCTTCCAGTTCATGGGTGATTGGCTATGAATGCGCAAAATGACGGCAAACTAGCAAGCATTCCACGAGGTCGGAGGAGTGTGTCTCCATGCCAGGAACCCTCGTCATGGCACGATGCTGTACCGCAAGGCTTAGATCAAAGCCACGGACATGCAAAGGTCAAATAGATTGACAAATACGTACTCTATTAGGTACGGATATCGCTCTATCAAAGTTTCCTTCCTCCATGATCCATCCGTTCGGCACCGACAACGGAGGAGGTGGAGGTGGGCGGGAAACAACACAACAACGCACCTCGTCCCGATATGGTCAAAGTCGGGTCGAGACCGAGATTGTGGTGGTTGTGGTTGCCTGTTGGGGTTGCAATCAAGCCAAGTCCTTCCAGGTCCCGGGTTGGAACATCCGAGAGAGCTAAGTTGCCCTCCGACGACAGGATGACTTCAAGGTTCCTATGCAAAATGGCTCAACGCTCAACAGCCCAATGCGGCTGACCATTGATTCTGTGGCCGATAGCCATTCGCCAACTGATCTGCTTTAGGATCAATATGCACAGGGCACTGGGGAGATTCGTTTCGATCAGGGGAGCGAGGGAACTATGTTGAGAGCCCGGGCACCTATATCAGTGCTACTATCGGCTTGCGTACATACGGATGCTCCATGATTACCGTGTCGCCGTATTGGAAACACTCGAAGCTGACAGACAGCCCACTATATGTACGCGGTCATGACCCGGTGATCATCGAGAGAAGAGATCCTACTTGCCGCTGCATTGCATCCTGCGGGCTTACGCAGGCCGGACAGGTTGGGGAGAACAGGCGCAGCTCGTATTCTGACAGAAGACGGGACGCAGAGACGTAATTCAACGCTCTCGGTCTTGAGGCAGGGAAGTCCCGCCAATGACCCAATGCAACTCCGGAGTCTGTGCTTGTCTTAAGACATGCTACTATGATGTGAGGGCTCAGGGCAATCAATGGATGGATGGCCAACCACGCCGACTCAGCTCGACCTTCCTTGATGTAGCTCCCCCGCCTCTTCCATCTAAGGCTTGGGTGAAGTGGCTTAGTCAGATGTCACAGGCTTGGC